ATAGAAGTGATAAACGCGGTTATGAAAACCAACTCGTAGCAAAAGGGTACCCTTATGATTAAGGGGCGATTCAGTAAGTTAGAGGTAGCTGGGTTTCTGGTTATTCAAGACCGCTGGGCCTTCAAGCCCAGTCCCAACCCCGTAAACTTTGTCATAGTTGGGTAACATATTACATGTCGATGGATACTTATAGCCAACTAGGAGTAGATATATGCAAAATTATTACTATCCCGACCATGACCTAGTGAACTTCAAGACCCGTGCAATGAGGTCGACTATGCGAGCTTCGTGGGCAGCTGTGCGAAGCAGGGGATCCTAGTTCCATTTTCACGAAGTGCTGAGGATTTTCCATTGATTTCTAGAGCCTAAACCCTAGGCCATCTTAAACCCAAACTCCTAAACTCTATTTGGGCATGTTCCGGCTCGAAATCTACAAAAGGGTCCTTATTATAATATTGTGTACCCCAACACCCTAGTCTGATTCTTAAGGCCCTTGCATATCTTGTTCTGCGTCCTTCCTACCATGAAAACTATCCGCTTGTACGCAAGAAGGCTTCGAGGTTACAGAACTGGCTTTGGCCATGCCAAAAATGGGGCTTCTTATCCTGGCGATTTTTCGCATTCGGTTTGTCGTGATTCCTGCAGGGATGTTTAGGGCGAGAGATGGAGCTCTTCGGGCAAGTTAGCTTCTGGAAACCTTTGTCGGAAATGGAAAACCGCGACGAAGCAACCACCACAGCTCCTCAGCCAAGTGGGTTCCCTTATCCGGTTGCGTAACCATAAACCCCCTAAACCCTAAACCCCGAAACCCATAAAGCCTAAACCCTACACCTTTGGAGAGTTGTCTGAAAGCCTGTTCGATTCCTTTCATCCGGAAGCCTTCATCTCGAACCCTCCCGGGATCCCCTCGCAAAGGGTAGTTGGGTCTTCGTGACAACCCCCAGAGAGCCCTAGATCCCCGCAACAGCAAATTCGAGCACAGCGTCATCCCCAAAACCATCCAACCCCTAAACCCGGAAATCCTAAACTCCCTAAGAAAGAAGTACCCTTTAAGGGGGCTCTCATACTCCTACAGGGAGCCCAGAGACTCCACTATCCCTTAATTCAGGAATATATACCCTAAATCATATTAGGGGTCCTACTATAATTTAAGGAATATTGCCTATAGAATTAAGGGATATTGGAGTCTCTGGGAGATGCATGAGCCCCCAAACTTCGACCCGGTCGGGCTAAGGGCTCCCACTCCGGCGTCGGGTGCCTCCGTGACGACATGGAAGGTCGGATGACGGAGTTGGTTTAGGGTTTCGGGTTTTAGGGTCTAGGGTTCAGGGTTTAGGGTTGAGGGTTTTAGGGGGTTTGGGTTTAGGGTGTAGGGCCCGGGGTTCGGGTTTAGGGTTGAGGGCGTGACGACATGGAAGGTTGGATGACGGGGCTGCGGGTTTAGGGCCTAGGGTTTTGGGGCTCATATGGTTTAGGGCTCAGGATACCCTAGGGCTCCTTCGTAGTTCCTTTTTGGGATTACCTTATAGGATTCTATATATGAACCCCAAAAAGGAACTACTAAGGAGCCCTAGGGTAAAAGGCCTAGGGCTCTTGGTTTAGGGTCAAGGATTGCCTTGACGTGTTGGGGCCGTATGGCTTGAAAGCTTCGTAGCCGCTTGTGGGCTGCTGAGTTTTGAGTCTTACGGTTGTAGACTCTAGGGCTTTGGAGCCTGATGGTACTGGTAGTGTTTTCGGGCTGTGAGATTGGAGCGTTCAGGGTTTTAGTCCGCGTGCTGGGCTTCCAGTTTTTGCCTTCACGGGGTTCAGGGTTTGCGGCTTTAGGCTGCGGCATGCGCTTCTGGGGACTCACAACATGACCCAACTGCACAATATGGAAAACTACATGTCCTTTTGGCTCAACATGGTCCCAAAGCGTTGACCTGTCAATTACATAGCATAAGTGTGGAGAACTGAACCCACAGGCCCTTTGCGCCTGAAGGCACACGATGTTTCCGCACCACCTTAAATCTCCAGCATCCCGAAACCCTATACATATAAATCCACTATACCCCAAGAGGTCAAGTTCCCTCAGCGCTAGAAAGCTAAACCTTAAACAATGATAAGTCCTTAGCCCCATCACCTAGCATACCGCAAGCCTGAAGGTGGCCGATCACCGCAGGGGTGGCACCTGCGCGTCTGAGGAAGTTTAAGGATCGTTTAAATTTAGGAGCGTGAATAATTCGCAATGATACCCACATTCGGGTTGTAGAGGTTCTAGGTGCTGTAGGTTTGTCGGGTTCATGCACACGGACAAGACCGAAAAAATCCTGGTGGATTCGTGAATCGTGAAGAGTAGGGGTCGAGGTTTACGAATGAATTTTGCTTCTAATCTTCGTCTATACCTTAGAAGCTGCCCCCACCCTGTAATCGTGACTATAAGGATTATATATGATTATATTAGGACCCTATCATATTCCTATTATACCACTATTACAGGGTGGGGGGCAGCTTCTAATCTATACCTCCATGAGTTTCTAAACCCAAAGCCCTTCGTCACCATTTTCATTAGGCAGATGTAGTGTAGGCTAGAGTGACGACATGACTTCTTCGACAAGCATGGCCGGTGAGTGGGCAAAGGCAACGAAGAAGGCACAGAAAGAGGAGAGTGATCCTGAAGATTTCAAGTTGGCGAAGAGGTGGTTTTCGGGCCTGGCCTCAATAGACGAGTCAAAAATATGGTCCCCTGTTGGGTCCATATTATAGTAGGGCACCTAATGTTTAGGGTGCCCAGAAAGGAACCATAATTTTGACAACCACCCAGGTGGTGGTCAGAGTCGCTCCAGCTCTCGGGAGTCCTTATCATCATACCCTGGAGCAATGGTACCCCTCATGCCAGCAATCTAGCGGCCTTTATAACCACAGATAACCACCTTGGGGTTCCTTACTATGAAGATACTATGATATATGTCCCAAAACCCCTTTTCCAATCATTGAGGCCCCTATGCTACCCCACAGCATAATAATCGCTGCACAGGGAGAGCCCAGCACTTCTTCAAGCTCGGATGACCCCTGCACCAAAACATCCGCAATACACATACATACATACTTATTTACTTACCTACTTACCTACTTACATGTCTCTCTCTCTCTCTCTCTCTCTCTCTCTCTCTATATATATATATATATATGTGTGTATATTGCCCTTTGATATGATAGCAAAACCCTATTAATTAATGTAAGCACTGCGTGGAAGATTATCATGTAAAGTCTGCCAATATAAGGATCTCCCTTAATCCTAAACCTTCAACCGCTTCTAAGGACTCCCGAAGCGTCTGTAGATAGTTCAGCTCGCCAACACCAGAGCCGGATGGCGGACTCGCGAAATGTTGCACCAAACCGGTCATGGGCGCAGGGTTTCAGGTTTACGGTGAACTGTGCCCACAAACTAGGCCATACCACTTTGGGATGGTCATCTTTCTATACGAAAATTTCGGAATCTGTGTACTTTAGGGGTGTGATTGAACGCAAGACCGAGTAAATCTGCTACCGGTCACTCTTCACGTCTACTTTCATTGAAGATTCATGCATGGGATGCTCTGAACTGGGTGGGATTCTTTACGGACTTTTGTCTTGGTAAGGTCAGTAAAAACGCACCGTTCGTGGAAGGATTCCCAGAAGCCCCGAACTTAGACCAGGGAAACACAGCTTGATTCTGCATGTTCACCAAGCCTTGTCATCCTATCTCCCCACATCAGAAACCCCCATATATAGATCCTAAAACCACTTGCCTAGACCTTGGTGGCACTTGTGCGGGAGAGCCCTTCCGGTAGCTTGAGCAGCACTACCAAATTCGCCATCGACTTCGACATGGACATGTTGCCACCGGCCGAGCTTCTGGATCGATCTGGGAGCGTCGCGGCGTTGCGTTCCGCCAAGAAGCCAGTCGTCGCACAGAGGTCCAAGGGCAAGGGCGTAAAGACCCCGGATGATGCCGTGTTCGAGAAGTCCCTGTTGCGTGCGTTATGTGACACGATCGCCTTGGCAGATCTGCTTGTCGAGACAGACCCGGCGCACAAGCCCCTAATGGACTATGCTATAACGCTTTGTATTGCGAAGTACGAGCACGCTCCAAGAGCCGTGCCTGTCATTGAGAGCTGGAGGGATCGTTCTTCCGGTTTGCGGCTGCACCTGGAACGAGGTCGCACGTGTACCCTTGCCACTTTGGCGAAGTCAGCACGTCGCATGTATGGGCAGCGCAGTTGCACTACATGTCAAGGAACACACGGTGCACGATTGATGTGGGCAGTGCCATCATATGCCTGGTGGAAGAAGTTGGGGTTCAGCGTTTAGGATGTAAGTTTTGTTTTGGGGGTGTTTGATATCTTGTTAGGGCCTGTGTTCAGGGCTTAGTGTTTCTGGGCTCAGGCTGAGGCAGTATGGCTTTATTTAGAGTTGGGGGTTTTATGTTCTAAGCAGTAAAACCCTACACTCGACAGGAACCCACCTGCCATCGAAGCTTGCATAGCTACCAGCAGTGTTCATTAGGGCTCCCTGCGTTTTTAGGCTCCAAACCTGACTCTAATTGTTACGGCCCCTGCCTTAAACCGTAAACCTTTGCACAACCCTAAATCCTGAAGCCAATCTCGTGTTGCTTCTTGGTTGCAATACAAAGCTGGGGGCTCCTAGGGTTAGGGTTCAGGGTTCGGGAAGGCCTGTGGTTTTGGAGTTTCGGAGTGTGTGTGTTCGGGGTTTAGCGAAACCCCAAATAGTCTACTGTTCAAGGATCTGTATGAGGAAATCATGTTTAGGGTCCCTGAAGGGCTGGTTTCGAAGGGTCCAGGTAGGGTTTAGAGTTGGGGTGCAGCTGCTGAAACAATGGGCCCGCCGGTAATGCATTGTTCCGACGGGATGGTCGGACTATCGAGACTGGGGCCGATTACATATTTGGGCACGTTAAACCCCATACCCCTAAACCCTAAAATCCTCACGGAGCCTCATACCTAACACCCGAAGCCCAGGAACGCGTCCGCTCGTGCACCCTGAAGGGCTACACCTCCGGCGCGCTGCCTGCCGGGGCCTCGACGGGTGCAAGGTTCCTGTGAGAATTGCTACAAGGGGTTGGGTTTAGGGTGTAGAGCTATGCATTTAGGGTTTAGGGTTTAGGCTACTTTACGGGCTACTAAAACAGTGCTTTCCAGGGTTACTATGTATAAGGGTTCTACATTTCAGAGGGCCGTGCTTTCAAGGGTTACCTACCATGTTACGGTTCCTACAATTCCGAGGACCCGAATGGTTAGAAAAGGACGTTGGGTGGTTTCAGGCTACATTCTCGGCCAAGTACAAAGGGACTCTACGCGGATTCCCAGACCACTACATTAAAGTAGGAACCTGATAAAGAGACCCTGGGCTCGTTTATTTGGGGTTGTTCGTCTGGTTGCGAACATGTTGAGGCCTTTTGAGCCAGGGTTTCTTAATCACGTTCCTCCATAACCCTGTACATTCTGATTCGGGGCTCGAGCACGCAGGATTTGTCACTGAAGCGCTTGGGGAGACGGTAGCGCTGGGAACGAGCGTTGCACAGCATGCATTCACCCTAACACCAATCCTTTGCTACTACTACGGCTTGGAAGGCATAGAAGCCTTGCCCCTCCAGGGAATGATAACAATCCCAGAGGAGCAAACCAAGAAGTTTCCCTTGAGCCTTAGAGACCTGACGCCCTAGAAGAAAAACCCTAAACCCTGAGCCCTAAACCTATAGCACCCCCTCCCAAAAGTTTGGCCCAAAAGCAGCCAAAGCGGAAGGTGAGCGTGCTGTCCTGGACCTACGATGAGTCCTCCTGTTTGGAATTACTGCCGGGTGTAGGAGTGGCCCGGGGCCCGGCTTTCTTCGCACTGTCTCGTAATATACGGTTTATAGGGTTTAGGGAATGATCACCAATACAATTTTAGGGGGTTCCTCCCTAGAATTGTAGTATAATGGGCCCCAACACCCCAGTCTAATTATGAAGGCCCCTATAGTAGCATTCGGCCGTGTTCGGATTTGGGCTTACAGTTGTGGATTTAGCGTTGGGGCATGCAGGCCCTCTTTAATAGTAGTGGAAAGACGCCATTGGGGGGTTTAGGATTGAGCATAGCCGCAGTGCTTCCGCATGTGGGCTTGTGGAAACTGTCAATAGCCATCGTTTTCTGGTTTGATGTATATTTCACGTATACTTGACTTGAGCAAGCCACCGTCCCATCCAGCACTCTGAAACGAGTTACGGGTCGGAACGTTCACGTGAACCGGTCGGTCGGTCGGTCTGTCTGTTTGTCCGTGTGTCTGGCTGTATGTGTGATTGTCTGTATGTCTGTAGGTAGGTATGTTTGCAGGTAGGCCATAATATGTCTGTACATTTATACTTGGCAGCGATGCCTTGTGACCCCAATGGCAATTACGAGCAGCCTCTTTGTGTTTTGCACGCCAGAAGCCCGTCGCTATGCAAGGTGGTCCACGATGGGGACCTGGAGAATCCGACAGATCCCGAGGCTTTGGGGCCTGGTGTCAGGGTGATATTTTCTACGACGATGCTGCCTCCGCGAAGACCCTAGTTTCGGGATGTTTGGGGAGTTCTTCCGACTCTGTTTGACCTTGTATTTCGTGCTGGCAGTGTGGAGGCTTGCGGGGACAAGAGAGCTGACACTTGCCCTGCTGTAGAAAAGGCAGACAAAGACCGCTAGAGTCAGGATCATGAAGTTGACGTTCCCTCACAGAGGCTCATGTCGACATTAACGTTACGCACGCGATATTAGGTGCCGCGACAATGTAATGTTTTCTTTCCGGGTGGAATCTAGCAAGGCCTCGATCCGCGGGCCCATGGCATATGGCCCTTTGCATCGTGCCGCCAGATGGCGCCAATGCAAGGTGGCGATCCCCCTAATGTTGAGCTGCGCTATTTGCGGTGCCCGAAGCACTAGCTTCAGGGGTAGAGCGATGACACAGATCATGTGGAACCCTGGGGCACGCCCTGGGGCACGCAGTGCCCTGGTGGCTGCAGCCCAACGGACCCAGCGCAGCCAGCACACCAAACAACCCGAACGCCGGCCCGAGGTTGCTGCATGGCAAAGCGCCCTGAAAATCCTGGGTGAGCCTTTGTGGCCGGGTGCGTCAGACCTGCCCATCCTGCCCAAGAATGATGTGCCGCAGGACTGGAACGGACTCCTGCGAGGCAAGGAACTCTTTGTCCAGGGCTGGGGCAGGTTTGACATCCGCAATGCCACGGAGGTGTGGAGAGCGATGGATCCCGAGAGTTTCTGCCCCAGTGTGCGCCAGCTCAGAGCCATTGGCTACGCAAGCAAATACTTCCACCACTTCCGCTCGGAGGAGACCTGGGCACATTTGTGTAGCTAGGATGCCCAGTAGTACCCTTATATTCCCTTTTTGTAGTCCTAGGTTCCTTATAAAGTTACCCAATACCAAAAAGAGAGGCCTTTTTATTCTTAGGTTACTGGGTATCCTAGGTAGCCTCTTCGAGTCGCCTCAGAAGCCTCTGACCAAGTTCCTGGTTCGCCACTCTCGCTATTTTAGTTCGCACGAGAACATGAATCGACTTGATGAGATCGAAAGGCACTTGAGACGGTTGAGATCGAAGGCGAAGCAGACAGAGGCCTTGCAAGCACCTCCGCAGCGCTTGCTCCGAAACATCACGCGCCTGGAGGAGGAGCGGGCCAACAAGAAGAAACTCAAAGGCACGAAGAGCAGCTTCATCGTGAAGGGCCTTGACCTGCCTGACCCTGCAGATCCTAAGAAGTTTTTGACCGTGATCCCGGTCTTGCCTGAGCAGCTCCACGTAATCGGAAAGGAGCTCAGCAATTGCGCAGGGAGCTACGTCCAACAGGTCAAGCAACTCAACAGCTACATGCTGCTACTTCGGGACGCAGCTGGTAAGTCTCTAGCCCTGGCCGAGGTAAGGGACTCGCGTTTCACCCAGATGTCTGAGTTCGCGAACTCGCGCCTGCGCGACGAATGGCGAGGTCTTTTTGAAGAGGCCCTTCCGCAATTGTTGCCTACACTTCCGAAGAAGATACGTGTCTGGAATGGCGGGGCAGTTGACCCATGGAGCGACACAAGCGTTGCAATGTCATGCTTTGATGCGGACCACGATGGGAAAGACATGCTGGTGTTTCGCAGACCTACTGCGCAGCAAATTCACAGGGCCCTAGGTGGTAAGGAGAAGGAGGATCCCCTACTGCGCGACCTTCTCATCTCAGACCTGTTCCAGTCAATAGTAGAAGGCGACTCTCAGAAATGGAGAGACTGGAGGGACCAAGGCTGGAAGCCGCGCAAGTCAGACTTCGAGCGGCTATGGGCGGCTGCCTTTCTGACCAACGAGACCTTGGCGGCAGAAGTCGCGTCTGGGTTCAGTTTCAAGCTGCCCAAATCCAGGGACCGCATCTATAAGCAGGTTTTGGCTCAGGCCATCAAGTCTGATTTCGTCAGCATCATGCGACGCCTGGAATCCCATCTTGAACTTACGCCAGGCCTCAGAGCATCCTCCATGTGGGCAGCAGCCGATGCGCGCTCGTGGTCGATGTTTCGATATCTTGTCCAGGGCCATCCACCTGGGCTGCGGATGCTTCACAAGAACAAGCTCACTGACGCTCTAAAAAAGATGCCTTCGCCAGAGCTCTGGGACTTTGTTCTGTCATCTCCCATTCGCGGCGCTGTTCTTGGACTGAAAGCTCCCAGTTTCTCTCAGATTTGGCGAGCGCTGCTGTTGGCAGACAGCAACCGATCGCTTGAAGTCTTGAAGCTCTGGATCCAAACATCTCGGTGGCGTGCACCCTTGCCACGAAATTGTCTGTTTGAGGCCGTGAACCTCGAGTGCTCTGAGGTAGTTGAACACCTTCTGGGGCTGGGAGATTCGCTGGAAGATCTGGGAGTCCGAAAGCGCACCTTCGACCAAGTCACCCACAGGTTCTTCTCTCAGGCGCTCCAAAGCCCTTCAGCAGAAAGGTCTGTATCTCAATCAAGAATATGTGTGGCGCTACTCCAGAACGCCTGCCTGCAATATCCGCGAACAAAGTGGCGCTGGTTGGATGATGCAGAGCAGATGATCGATGCGAAGCCTTGGTCCAATCAATCCTTGCAGCTTAGGGGTACTCAGAAATACTTTTTTATTTTTTGGTTATTATAATCCCTAAGAAACAGCTAAAATTACAATTTGTGCTAGGGTTCTAAGCTCAGCATAGGCAGCAGGTCGCCAAAGGGTTGCTGGACGACCTGCAGAAGCGCAAAACACGTTGACAGCTTGCGCACGACTTGGCGTGGAAAACGGGGGCTGGCTAGAAATTCCCAGTAATGGTCACACCCAGGCTCCTTGGACGATGTTTCGGATAGTGTTGTCGGATTTCAGGTTATATAGGTGTCTTGTGCTGTTGGTTTACACGTCCCTAATTCAGCCTTGAATCCCCAATCCCAAGCAAAGCCTCCGAGAATCCCCCATAAGGGGTTGAGGGGTTTAGGGTTGAGGATTGAGGGTTTAGTAGTCTAAGGTTCAGGGGCTTATTGGGTGGTTGAATGTGCCCCACCTGTGTGTGCCGACCTGGTAGCGGCCAGTAGAGAGCTGCGAAGCCCCAATCCCACTTCAAACCCAAAGCCTCCAAAACCGTGTAGGAACCTGATTAAGAAACCTTAGGCCTTTATTAGGGTCCCTTATATGAACCCTACTAAGAAACCTTAGGCCTTTATTAGGGTCCCTTATATGAACCCTACTAAGAAACCTTAGGCCTTTATTAGGGTCCCTTATATGAACCCTACTAAGAAACCTTAGGCCTTTATTAGGGTCCCTTATATGAACCCTACTAAGAAACCTTAGGCCTTTATTAGGGTCCCTTATATGAACCCTACTAAGAAACCTTAGGCCTTTATTAGGGTCCCTTATATGAACCCTACTAATTTGGTGTGAAGGGTTTATCTCCCAAGAGCTTGAGCCCTAGCCCCATAATCTGAGCCCCAAACTCGCAAGCCTTACAGATCCAACTCAAAGAGCCCAGCCAGGATGCCTTAAGGAGCCCTTAAAGGGAACACTGTTTCATGGATCCCTATAATACCCTTTAAGGGAACCCCACTATGAACCCCTACAGTAGCCTCAAAGGAACCGTCAATCCCGAGAGTTTTTTTTGCATGACTTAAGGTGGCTATAGGGCTTTTGCAAGGGCTTTTCAAGCCCCGGAACGAGCCCACAACCTTGAGGCACCAACGAATCCGATTGACTTGCAGCTGTACTGAAGCTCCATGGCCCTGATTTCCGAAATCCTTCACGCCTGTAACCAAAAACCCGAGCTCCAAATTCAAAACTCGAGCATTCAACCGAGGGGTGCCAGAGTGGACGGCCTTTGCAAGGGTTTCAGGGAAGGTTGTTCAAGGGGTTCTACCAGTGGTCCACAAGATCATTATTTGGGGCTCTATAACGTAAGGGTCTTTGAGGATGTCTTGAGGGGTCGGGGATTTTGTGTAGGGTTGGCACTATAGTGCTTGTAGGTTGATGTGGAGACGAAACGCTGAACGCCTCAGCGCGCAACTGTGCTTCGTTGGAAATTGTTGGAAATCACGCCTTATTCAATTCTAGCGTTATCCGGTGCAATACTGAGGGCTCTATTGGAGACGACTTCGGTGTCATGAACCCGAAGCCCTGAACAAAAAAATCGTTCTAAACCCTACCCCCCGGAATCTTTGGATTTTCATAGCTCAACCCTAAACCCTAAACCCTATAAACCCTAAACCCTAAATCCCTAAACCCTAAATCCCTAAACCCTAAATCCCTAAACCCTAAACCCTAAAGCCTAAACCCTTCAACTTGCCTTCGTCAACCCTTAAGGACAGAGCCTCAGAGCTCGATGGTTTAGGCTTCAGGGGTTTAGGGTTTAGGGTTTAGGGTTTAAGGGTTTTGGGGTTTAGGGTTTTAGGGTTTAGGGTTTTAGGGTTTAAGGGTTTGGGGTTTAGGGTTTTAGGGTTTAGGGTTTTAGGGTTTAGGGTTTAGGGTTTAGGGTTTAGGGTTTGGGGTTTTAGGGTTTTAGGGTTCAGGGGTTGGTTTGGGGTCGTGCATGGTTAAGGCAGTTTCGGAGCGTTTTCCCGATAGCCCACCCGAAAAAGAGGCTTCAAAGCATAAGTGGAACTGGGTTTTCGGGTGCAAACAAGTTAAGACGATGAAGGGGCGGTACAGCAACTGTGCGCTTGGAAATCTTCTGTTGCGAAAGATGTTAAGTAGCATAATACGACTGATTGTAGCGGAACTCCACGGAAGTTGTTGAACCCGCAATCCGAGACCCTAAACCCTAAACCTGACACCCCTTACCATAAGGAACACCACAGGTGAAAGCGTCCAGGGCACACCGGAGCCCTACTGTAGTAAAAGTGGACCCGCAGCGAGCTACTCAACCTAAGTAGGGGCACGTGTGTCCCCTAAACCCCTTTTCCTTAAACCCTAAACTCTAGACCCGAAAACCCCGAAGCTCTTAAACGCCAAACCCTTAGCTCCAGACCCTACTGCAACAGGACAAAAACAGGCACTCGTTCGGTTCCTTCTAAGGGAGACCCTACAGTGTTAAAACCAAGCTAGCAACAAATGATCTTCATCCCATTCCGGGTTTAGGTATTTAGGGAGTTTAGGGGCTTAGGGTTCATATAGGGTCTAGGGTTTTAGGGTTTAGGGTCTATAGCGCTTCATCCCATTCCGCGTGCGGGGATTTTGAAGTTCGGGCTCTTGCTTGCGAGGTGGGGGACCCAAAAGCCCAAGCCCGGAAGCCCCGAAAAATCTAGATGGAGAAATTTTGGGATCTTGGGCCTTTATGGGGTTCCTTATATGAGTCCGAATATATTGGGGTTATAGGCCCAGGGTTTCTTAATCAGGTTCCTACATGAAGCCCTAAACCCTAAACCAACCAACCTAAACCATAAACGCACGTCCCGGCCAGGACGACGAGAAGGTCATTCCAGAGCCCAATCTCGCGGCTGAGCTGTACAACCGGGGTTCTGGCATGCGATGCTTGTTTTTGCTTTGAGATTGCTCCTTAAAGGAACCAGTATGAAAATTCGAGTCTACCCTAGGGCTCCTTAGTAGTTCCTTTTGGGGGTTCATATATAGAATCCTATAAGGTAATCCCAAAAAGGAACTACTAAGGAGCCCCAGGGTACACTTCTTTCTCACCGGTTACTTCAGCCAGATGTCAAGGATCCTTTAAGGCTGGCTTTAAAGGGAACTCCAGAAAGTTGGAATATGGATTACTGGTAGGATCCCCTATAAGTTACATTAAAGGGGTTACGATAATGATATTCCAACTTTCTGGCTTCTACTGTAAGGCTCCTTTGAGGCTCCCTTGAAGGCTCGCGTAAGGGTAGCAACCTGACATCCCTATAGACTGAGGCTGTTAAATCATTACCCGAACCTACCCTCAGGATCCTTTAAGGTAGAAGCCAGAAAGTTGGAATATGATTATCCTAACCCTTCTATGGTAAATTATAGGGTATCCTACTGAAACCATATTCCAACTTTCTGGAGTTCCCTTTATAGGCAAGACAGACCTCTTCGGAGAAAAGGTCCGATGCCCTTTTTAAACAAAAAAACAGAACCTGTCAAGAAGCCTGGGAGCCCCGAACCCCCGAAGGGTCCCGAGACCCTCGGGCCCTCAACCCTAAACCCCTACTGTAAACTCTAAACTCAAAAAAACCCTAAACCTCTACTATAAACCTTAAAGCCCGAGACCCTAAACCCCCTGCAAGTTTCTGCTGGCTTTGCCTGGCACTTGGGTTTGGTCGGTTCAGGGTTCCAAGAGCTACTGCGGGTCCGGACCCAAATGTCAGAAGAATTCTGAGCAATCTGACTTCAGGGATTCTCATTTAAAGCTTTGTGTTATAGTATGTATATACATATATATACACACACATAATATATGTATATACATACATACTTGTGTGTGTGTGTGTGTGTGTGTGTCTGTGTGTTGTGTGTGTGTGTGCGCGTGCGTGCGTGCGCGTGCGCTTGTCTTTTCGTGTTTTTCGTGTTAGAGCATAGCCGTCGGGACCAGGCACAAGGAGAAATCTGGGCAGAGGAGTTGCCAGGTCCGCCTTCGACGATTCCATGGCCGTGCGTGGAGATGTGTAGCTGGCAAGAGCAAGCGGTTACGGAACGATGACGACGTCCCGACTCGAGTGCAGACTCCGCCGGCAAGAACAAGTGCATCAGGAAAGGTTCCATCCTTTGGAACACGAAGTCATTTTGGAGCCTCGGCGAAGTGTGCTCCAGAAAGGTGTACAAAACCTGGGTGCCGTGTTACACAGTCATCCCTGCGCCAGCGCCCCAAACCGATCTATAGCCCTGCAAGCGTTGGGTTTTAGTGTTGCTGGGCGGCCTCATCGCCGTTCGTTCTTTCAACAGCAGTGACAGCAGGTATAAGGCATGTTTCCTAGTATGTTATTGTTTATCAGGCACAGATCCTTGGTTGATGAACCGTACGTCCTCACGTGGGGTTAGATTTTCTGGATGCTACGATTGCTAACTGACGGTTTCTTAAATCAGTTTCAAGCTTTCTGCAGTAGCCGGTTTAAATTGCAACCCCATACAGGCCCCTGTAGATTTTGCAACCCCCTAGCAAAACGCTGTAGGATTACTGACAAATGCCTTCGTATGTATATATTATGGCGGTAATCACAAAACCCTCATGAAACAGAGGACAAGACGCACGCTACAAGCACTTCAGGAAGACTTAGGAAACTGTGAGTTTCCGAAAATAGGGGACCCAAATATAGTACCCTAAATAGTAGGATCCTGATTATAAGGACCCAAAAACAAGGTACCCCTAATTTTCGGAAACTCCCAACTCACTTTTGTTGAGGCCAACTTCCTGATCTCCCCGGCTCCCCAGAAGGACTGGGCATGAGCCTGAATTCGGAGTTTAGAGTTTAAGGTAGGAGCCTGATTGAGAAACCCTGCGTCTATAACCCCAAATTAATAACAGTAGGATTCATATAGGGAACTCTAATAAACGCCCACGTATTCTTAATTAGGTTCAAATGCAGGGCTTGCCTGCCTTACCAAGGTGTTGCAGGATCTTGTATAAACTCTAGCATACAAGGTAATGTAGGAGCCGTAATATTGATAATCTATAAGGGTGCTGTAAGCTGTTTGTTCTATACATATACTTCCAAAAGCCTTACTCCTTTTATCAGGGACTTCGGGGATTCGGGACTCAGGCTACAAAGATGCAGGTTTCAAGCATTGGCCTTGAGGATTCGGGGGTGAGGAAGTTCACCGATATTTGGAAATGGGAGTTTCCGAAAATTACGGGCACCGTATTGGCGTCCTGATATATATATATATATATATATATATATATATATATATAAGGGTCCCCTGTCTTCGGAAACTCCCATATGGGCTTGCACGCAGGGCGCAGGGTTTACCACACACAGTAGGCTTCGGGCAACGATGTCGGATCGCGAGCCTACTGACGAAGTTCTACAGTGTTCTCGCCAAGCTTTTCGTCGGGTGTGCACGGGACTGATGTAAGGAGGAGTCTCCAAATAACAGAGAGAGAGGAGGGAGAGAGAGAGAGAGAGAGAGAGAGAGAGACAGAGAGAGAGAGAGAGGCGCGATAGGGCCTGGTAAATGCTGTAGTCTCACTCAGCTTATTTGGGGTTCGTCCCAACCTAAGAACCACGGCATCTGTCCATGTGCCGGAAAGCTTTCCCGGCATCGGGTGTTGGGGACAGCATCGTATGCAACCCCTCTCGGGGTCCTACGTTGAACCTTCAATCCCAAATCCTCAGCCCGTATCACAGTGAAGCAACCCCTCGGTGACGCTGTGGAGCATGGACATCAAATTAGCAGAGATTTGCGGACACATTTTCTTGCTGAGCAGCTAAGGTTTTAATCCGAGTGCTCAAACCATGCAGGAAGGGTTCGAATTCGAGCCGTAGGATTCGAGTTTTTTTGTCTTAGGGGTTCAGTGAAGTTACATGGGGTTTAAAGTGAACCAGATACGTTTAAGTCCTGAAGCCGCCTGCACACAGGACGCCTGCTGGGTGGCTGTGTACGTTCCGCAGCAGAGCCACCTGCCTCGCAGTAATATCATAGGGCCCCCAAAAAAGCACATAAGCAAAAATTAAGATAGTGATATCCCATATAGATCCCCTTATAATGAAGCCCAATATGGTAGGGACATCCCCATAAAATGCTTATGCTTAAGTGCTTTTTGGGGCCCCTATCAGGGTCTGAATACTCAGTAGTATCAACTATGGAGGGCTGAATGAAGAGTTAGTCAATAGAACCCCTTGGGAGTTCCTATACAAAGGACTTGTTACCGTCACTATAGTTGCCCGGACTTCAGGCCACTAGACTCCAAACTCGAAGCCCAACACAGGCTTTGTGAAATTCTTTGACAAATATGGGGGCTCAGGTTTGCAGGGTGTAGGTATAACATACATGTAGGATATTGAGAACAGGGTCGACAGCATAGATCCTGAGCCGCTATTCGAGTTCGTCATCAATCCGGACGTTGAACAGCCAGAGCCCTACACCCTCGATCGCTGGAAGTACGGAAAAATACCCATACCCTCAACCTGAAGGTTTCGACTCTAAGACTCTAAGAATACCCTTGGAGCCTTTGAACACACTGCGGAAGCAATTTCACAAGAACCTCTACTACAAGACCGCCGTTATGTCATACCTATGTCATGTCCTAAAACCCCCAAACCCTAAACCCCAAAGCCTATAAACCCTAAAGCCTAGCCTTCAGAAGCCCTAAACCCCATAAACCCTAAAGGGTCAACCTCTTGAAACCCTGCACCCTGTAAACCCTAAAGCCTAACCTTCAGAAACCCTAAACCCTACAAATCCTAAAGCCCTAAAGCCTAACCTTTCGAAACCCTAAAGCCTAAAGCATAACCTCTTGAAGCCCTAAACCCTGTAAACCCTAAAGCGTTATAACCTTTAGAAACCCTAAACCCTACAAACCCTAAAGCCCTAAAGCTCAGCCTTTCGAAACCCGAAAGCCTACAGCCTAACCTCTTGAAACCCTACCCTAGGGCTCCTTAGTAGTTCCTTTTTGGGGTTCATATATAGAATCCTACAAGGTAATCCCAAAAAGGAACTACTAAGGAGCCCCAGGGTAAAGCCAAGGCATGGTCGCACGCGTGTCACTGTACCACCTAAGTGCCTCGGAGTGGTTGGGCCATGGGGTTTTGTGTGGTTAGGGCTTGGCCCTACAGGGATTCCTGCATCGTATATATGTAGGCCTTAAACGGGTTCCTATCCAGGTACTTCAAAGCTTGAACGGTTGAAGGTTTAGGAATTTCGCAGTTTTGGAAGTTTCCGAAATCAGGATACCTGATGAGAACATGGAGAGCGAACCTGTTTATTTACGAGTTTGAGGTTTCCGAAACTAGGGACCCTGCTAAGAAATGGAGCGCGAACGGTAGCATCCCGTTATATCCCGTTTATATGAGCCCCCAAGTAAGGTACCCTCGCCTGATACCCGTTCAGAGCTAAAGGCGCAAGAACGCGAAGGCTCTCTTGGGACGGACCTTGAGTGGCTCTTGAACACGATGTGCTGAAGGTGTTGTACAGATTGAACTTTGCCTATTCGGGACATTGCTATACTAGGATGCCCTGTAGTACCCTGATTCCCTTTTTGTAGTCCTAGGTTCCTTATAAAGTTACCCAATACCAAAAAGAGAGGCCTTTTTATTCTTAGGTTACTGGGTATCCTAGTATAGGTGCTCCAACCCTTAGTTTGCAACCCTAGAGCTGGTAACCCTCACGCCTGGGGTCCTCAAACTCTAAGTCAATCCTTACATTGTCTAGACCCACCGTAAAGCCTATACCCCAGGAGCCTGTATTTGGAAGACAAAGCCGATCTATTTTTTGCTCAAATGCCGAACCGTATTGCTTGTCACGGGCTACTGTTGGTGTGGTTGGTAACCTGTGTGGTTGTTGCTACCGTGATTGTTGGCAGTGGCTATGGCTTATGATGTTGTGGAGGATTTTCAGTCTTGTTGGTGTTGCTGGCGGTGGCTGTCGCGGTCTGTTGGTTGTTGCTTAGGCTTAGAGCCTTAGTCTGATAATCAAGGCCCTTTGTTAAATGCTTTTGTTCGGTTCGACGCCTGCCGAGGCAAGCCGACGAAGCTCGTCATGGAGCTGAACCTGCCTAAGAAGGCGAAAGGATCTGGGATTCTAGAGTTTAAGGGTGTAGGGGTTTCAGATTTCATAGCACTTAAGATTTGGGTTGAAGGGCAAGGGTTTGGGATTTAGGGCCTGTCTTACGGGATAGTTCGGGGTGTTCCTTTCGCGGGCAACCTGGGACCTTGCAGCCCCGAAAGGCCAAAGAGTTAGTCCGACTCCCATAGTATATGACCGACGCACGGAAGTGGGCACTTCTCTAAATCGGGGTCCCTTTTAGAACCTTTGTACAAGGGTCCCCGTACTATTTTTGGGAGAATTACCCACAGGGCACCTGTGGGTAGCCCCAAAGAGTGCGTAAGATCTGCCGAAGCCCGGATGCCCTTTGGTCTTAAATTTATGGGCTCCTTCAAGGGCTCGGTTTAGGGTTTAACCCTAAACCGTTTTAGGGATGTCTAGGGTTTCAGGGATGTCTAGGGTTTTAGGGATGTTTAGGGTTTTAGGGATGTCTAGGGTTTTAGGGTTCGTAGCAGAATGGGAGGCGGCTCAAATCCCCGAATCAGGCCAAAGCTAGGCCTCGACAAGATCATCCTAAAATTTCGCTTTCTTTTTGGTTTAGGGCTTAGGGTGCCTATCGTCTCCATCGTAGTTCCTTTTTTTGGTTAACCAAATTTACATATATTATAGGATCCTAGCCATAAGTTGGTTACTACAGCTACATTCCTTCAACCATGAGACCTTGACTCCTAAAGCCGAAAAGCCCCAAAATCCCGATAGCCCCAAACCCTCACACCACGAGGTCTTCTATGACTAGCGCACTGAAGAATCCTCATAGAGCCGGTTAGAACTTTCAAGGGGGACTTTGTGCAAGCCGCTCAGCCTTAAACTTAAAGTCACAACAGGTCAAGGACTGCCAGATGCTGTGGAACTTTGACGGCTCTGCGATGCTCGCCAATGTACTTCGGCTGCGATTAGGCTTGCGGGTTTTCGGCCTAGTGGTTCCGGCTTTGCTACCAGATCCGTAGCTTTGAAAGCCATAGCCCCTAAACAGCCTCACAACTTGAACCCTAAACCCCTGAACTCTCAACACTAAGCCCTAGCCCACAAGCCATCAACCCCCCAACCCACAACTTTTGTAATGTCGCAGCCCGTTTACTTTCCAATGCTACTCCTTCGACTTCTTTCGTACAGCTTGCGCATAGTCTGCGACACCTCAAGACCCAGTTGAAATTGCTAGACCCCCTACAGTATGTTCCAGCGTGCCATATTCGCCCCGATGCAGATGTTCTCTCCCCGGTGAAGCCTGAACCCCTTTGCTGTGGATCTTGCCGTTTACCTATGAACTTCCCAAGTAGTAGAGCAGGACACATTACACCCTTTTTTGGGTGCATTATAACCTCTTGATATATATATATATATGTATATATGCACATATACATATATATATATAATATAATATAATATAATATAATATAATATAATATAATATGAATGCTGTTGTTCCCCCAGGATACTGGACAACTACCCATACTCTCCAGTGGAGTTTCTTTTTTGGGTTAACCGCAAATCGGCATTATAGGTCCTAACCATAAGATTGGTTAGCCTACAAACGGACTAAAGGGAACTCCAGAAAGTTGGAATATGGTTTCAGGGTAGGATACCCTATTATTTACCATAGAAGGGTTAGGATAATCATATTCCAACTTTCTGGCTTCTACCTTACCAGGTAAACCCTAAACCCCAAACCCTAAACCCTAAACCCCTAAACCCCTAAACCCTAAACCCTAAACCCTAAACCCCTAAACCCCTAAACCCCTAAACCCTAAACCCCAAACCCTAAACCCTAAACCCCTAAACCCTAAACCCTAAACTACCAGGTAAACCCTAAACCGTCAACCCTAGACTGGCACCATAAACCCTTCAGGCCCTCTGAGCTCCATCCCTAAGCCCTAAACCCTAAAAAGCCCTCAAAACCACAGAGTTTAGACCCCTAGGCCCTATCTGGACCCTAAGGAACCTGCCTTTTTGGGGCTCCTTACTATGATTTCCTTTAAAGTAAACCCCTGCAGGCTAAGCCCTGGAACCATGATCTCCCCGACTCCCTTCTACTTTGTGTACTGAGCATCAGATGTCTGGAGGGTTCCCTTCAGACCCCCAGCTGCCCCAACAAAACCTTCGATGAACACCTACGAAGAAGCTCAAAGGACTCCAGCTGAGACACAATTTGACAAGGCTCAGAGAGCACGACTTGTATTAAGAAACATATACTGTCGAACATATCGAATGGACTGCAATTGAGGCAATGAGCGACGTGGACGAAACTGGCAACTCGTACTTCGGGAGCGCCCTGGCGAAACGAACGGCGCAGAACGGACATTTTAGTCTGTGCGTCTACGGTTTATTCGGCCCCTCCAAAACAAGCAGAAGCATGTTACAGGGAAATCCATGCCTTACTTGGCATCACTATAAGGGGATGTATCTGGGATATCCTCATGCTAAGTGTTGCTTGTTTAGGCTTCAGTGTTTAGTCTTGTCGATTTGGGTTCTGTAAGGGCAATGTCTCAGGGGTGCTGCAGGTTTCGGGATGTGGGTTTGGCGGTTTCGGGCTCAGGGCGTCGGCTGGAGGGTAATCCCACATAGATCCTCTCAGCCTCTGTATGAAATAGAGTAGGGCTATGTTAGTGCTTGTAGTGGGTGTAGAAGTAGGCCCAAAACCTCAAACCAAAATAGACCCAGCAACCCCCTTCGGCCTTTGCCGAGGTACCTACGTGTACTGGCTGAAGACCCTAAACCAAAAAAAACCCAAAACCCTGAACCCCTGAACCCCTAAAGGGAACTCCAGAAAGTTGGAATATGGTTTCAGGGTAGGATACCTTATAATTTACCATAAAGGGTTTAGGATAATCATATTCCAACTTTCTGGCTTTTACTTTAAACCCCCAAACCCCCAAACTGAGGTACCTACCTCTACTGAAGCTCCAGAAGACCCTGAACCTTAAGCCCGATTCGATGTTACGCCCTTCGGCCTTTGCCGAGGTACCTACCCTATACTGGCTGAAGACCCTAAACACAAGTCCCTAAACCCCCAAACCCTAAACCCTAAAACACTAAACCCTAAAACCTAGACCCTACACCCCAAACCATATCCGAAACCACTAAACCCTAAACCCCCCTATTTTAGGTTTTCAGGGCTTCAGTAAAGCTCTAAACCCCTAAACGCCTAAACCCTGAACCCCTAAACCCTTATAACCCCTAAACCCTAAACCACTAAACCCCGTACACACTTAAGCCTCAAACCCCTAAACCCTAAACCTTAAATCCTTAAGAAGAATTCTTATAGGACCCTTAAAGGAACCCTACAATATTATTGTAACTTAAACTAAGCCCTTGAGGTACCTACCTCTACTGGCCGAAGACCCAAAACCCTAAAACCCTAAACCCATAAACCCATAAACTCTAAACCCTAAACCCTAAACCCCTAAACCCCTAAACGTTTCAGCCCTTGAGGTACCTACCTCTACTGGCTGAAGCCCGATGACCGGAAGAAGGCCGCAGTCTGCGGGGCGGAGGACGGTCTCGTGCAGGACCCGGGGGGGTTAGGCAATAAGGCTGGGGTTTCGGGCCGTTTAGGGTTTAGGGTTTGGGTTTAGGCTGTTCAGGTTTATGGTTTGGGGCTAGTTTGGGGTTAATGTTCCGGCCTCATCCACCGAGTGGAGCTATGTCACCTGAGCACACCGGATACGAGTCCAACGCTACGGAAACAGTGCAACATAGGGTCTTTATAAATACTATCATTGGATGTTCCCTACCGCATATAACCAGCCGTTAACAGCAAATCTCAACGTCCCCAAGGCCCTAAATCTCCAACGGCAAGCCAGTGCACATCAGGACTTGGCGTGGTCTCCAATTGCTAACGAGTCCCCTGGCTGCATTGTCCTGCCAGGTTCCGTTTCTAGAAGGACGCTCAGGGACCTTAAACCCTAAACACTAAAATCCCTAACCCCAAGACACTAAAACCTAAAACCTGAAAGCCCTAAACCCCTGGACAGCGGTTCAGGAAATTGGTTTGGGTGTACGAGTCGTGCAGGGCTTTGTCCACTTCTGCGCTAGCTTGGGCTGGTGCTCATGACTGTGTTATGAAGTTTTCGGGCCTTTCCTGAATGACATTTCTGTGATTGGCTTCATATTTTGTGCAGGCTTTGGCAAGTATACATGATGCAGAAGGAGGATGCTGAGGCAATGTACCTGAACAATATGGAATGTCTGTACCAAGGTAACCGGCATTCGAGTATTTGGGCTTAGGTACATATCGCAACGCCCTCGGCTCTCATACAGTTGCCAAGGCTAGCGTCCCCTTTGGTCCGCCCATGCAGTATGCTCAGTCGGGCCAGTATTCCTTGATTTTCAATAGTGGAGCAACTGCCGGCCATTTTTCTAACAGTGAGTAGCGTGCATGTCGGCGTCGATCTAGTGTTTTGGAACCATCTGACATTTGCATCTGCGCAAGCGCCCCGAACGTACAGGTTCATGGTCATTGTCGGCATGCTTCCTGCTGATGTGAACCTCTACAGTGGTGCCACAGGCGGACCATGCCTTAGTAGCTGAGTGGAGACACTTTACACTTTTTGGGATAATACTACACACTATAAAACTAAAAGTGTACACTTTTTGGCTTATGAACCCAGCAACTAAGATGAGGGCTGCTATAAGGGTTCCGTATAGGCGGCCTTAATCATTAGAGTAGGGTTCCTTGAAGCGGTCCGTGAGCCCCACTCCGGGTTGGGATGCTTGAGATCTTCTCACGGCGAAGGGGGTTCTCAAACCCTGGAGCCGCTGGAGCCTCTCATAACCCGAAGCCCTAAACCCTAAACCCAAAACCCAAAACCCAAACTCTCCGAAAACCCTTATAAGCCCTAAACCCCCTAAAGCCTAAACCCTTACTCTTAACGTAGGGTGGTTGCCTACGAAAGGTCGCCTGCTCGCCCCAACCGGGCTTTCGAGACGTGTTATGCAGATCCAGAAAAGGAGCCCCTTAAAAGAACAAACTAAACAAAACCTAAAGCCCAAAAACCCGAAGCTTGAGGCCTTCAGGCAACTGGCAGGGAGGCGCATGGCTCTTCTTTAAGAAAAACCGCGAGGAGTAGCCCTCAACTCGATATACACACGGCAGGCCTAAGCCAAAAGCTCTCGCAACACCTATACCGCGAAACTCAAACCCCACACCCCAAAACCGTAGGTCTTGTTGGTGGTCTTTGGACCTTGAACCTCCAAATTCAAACAATGCACCTAAGAGACCCCCAAACTCTAAACCAGAAATCGCCCGATCCTAAACCCTAAAGACACGAAACCTTAAAGACCATCAATACCCTAAAGACCCTAAACACTCTAAACCTTCACACCGTAAGCCCTCTGAACCCTTAATCCTGGAGACCCCAAAGACCCTATCAACCCCTACACATCTTAGCATCCCTGAACAGGGAAGCTGGAGAAGAGCCTCGGGAAGTCGAAAAGGAACACGCTGAAGTGGCCCTTGCCCCAGCTGAGAGTTCAGGGCTTGCAGGGTCTGGGGTTGAGTTTAGGGTTTAGGCTCGGGAGTTAAGGGGTGGAAGGGTTTCAGGTTCAGGGTTTAGGGTTAAGGGTGTTGGGAGGTTTAAGCCTCAGGGTCCGAAAATTACAGTGTTAAAGTAACATGTAGGCTTCTTATACCCGCAGAAGTGTTGTTGTGATGTTGATCATAATCATAGCAAGTAGTATTCTTAGCATTCGTAGCATCATTGCAAAGATGAGAATAAGCAGAATAAGAAGCAATAAGTTTTAGCTTTAGCTGGTCAAGCTCGGAGTTTAGAGGTTTCAGGTTTGAGGATGCTTGGGGGTGTGGTGTTTGGGGTGTTCGGGTCTTGGGGCAGTTTAGGTTTAGTTTGGGCTGTTTCTGGTTAAGACTTTGCTGGGAAGGATGTGTGTAGAGGAGCGTGGATGTTGAGCAGCGTAGTTGTTTGTGTTTTGCGACCTCCTCAAAGACCGGGTCTAACTGCTCGGGCCTGTCATGGTTTATACAGTTTAGGGTTTTGGATGAGCCATGCGCGTGGTTTGAGGCTACTTGGAGGTTCATGGGTAGTTTTCGGTAGGGTTATAAGTAGGGTACTTAGAACCCAATTTAGGAGACGTATAACCCCACTTGTAACTACCCTAAACCCCTAAACCCCTAAACCCTATACAACCCTGAAAGGAACCCTTAAAGGAACCCTATCACCCCACTTATAACTACCCCTGGACCTCCAAGTAAGGGAGTATAAGGGCTTCAAAGTTTAATCGAGATGCACTTGGGAGTCCCAGGCTGAGACCCCCGAAATCTCAAGGAAGGAATAAGTAGTTACTGCGGGGTCCTTAGTGATTAGACTAGGGTCTTGGGGCGATTATACCACAATTATAATAAGGAGCCCCCAAAATAGTACAGTATAGGTCATAATTAAGGCCCATATCTTACTTGTACCTATAGAAACTATGGGGATGGATGTCCAGAAGGATACCAACTCTGTCTGAAAGGCAGCGCAGCCTAAACCCTAACCCCAAACGCCAAACGTGGCTTACTTGTCCACCCAGTTCGGAGGCCTCCAGAGGTGGGATGAAGGTGGGTAGGATGAAGGATCCCTTGTTTAGGGCCTCTTATTTTGGGATTATACCACCTATCTTCATCCCACCTTTTGAGGCCTCTGACCAGTTGCGAGCCGGTGTGCGTCAAGTAGTGTATGTATGGATGGTTCAGACCGAGAACACAAAGAGCCCAATGCCCAGCCAAATGAGAACATACCTCTTGCTAGCAGGTTAGCCTTGAAGGTCTAGGGTGAGTTTTGAGCATGTTTCCAGTGTGCGCGGGCCGAGACTGCATGGCAAGGCCGCGGTAGCCGCTGAAGCCACTCGCACACGGCCCATGCAGCCGCGGTCGGAAGCGGAAACCACAGAGGAGACCGAGTGCTCTGAGAGGACAGAACCGCAGAGTAGTCGACACGTGAGGGCCCACCTGGCTGCAGCTCCTAGCACGGCATGCGCGGAAGCCTTGAGCTGCTACCTGGGGATCCAAAAACTTCCGGTTTTAAGTTAAACGGGTCATAACTCATAACCATTATGTTGTAGGGTTTGGGGTTAATCACAGGTAGTTATTAGCGAGGCGATGGATTTTCTGTAAAGAAGCCCCCGCACTGACCTGCTATGAAGTATTATAGAACCCTTGCGACTTGCTTTTTTTGAGTCTCTGACACCGAAACCTTGATGTCCTAAACCCTAATACCCCGAGCCCTCTCTGCGCAGTGCTCCACAAGCCTGGCACCCTAAAGCTCTTAAATCTTGGAACCTTGACATCCTCTTATAGTCCCTTATAGTCCCTTCCAAACTACAGTATCCTATCCAAACCCCTCCAAGAATTGGTTTCGAATCCGAACAAAACCTGGAACCAGAAGGAATCCATCCTAAAACAATCAAACCCTTAAATGCCCTAAGTCCGTGAAGCCCGAAACGCCCAAAAAAATCAGGGAGTTATAAAACCTGAATTCCTACAACCCTAAACCAAATATTTCAAGGAGTAATAAAACCCGACACCCTGAAACCTTAAACCCTAAACCCTTAAACCCTAACCCCTTAACCCTTAAACCCCTAAACCCTAAACCCTAAACCCCTCAAACCCTAAACCCTAAACCCCTAAACCCTTAAACCCTAAACCCCTAAACCCTTAAACCCTAAACCCCTAAACCCCTAAACCCCTAAACCCTTAAACCCTAAACCCTTAAACCCCTAAACCCCTAAACCCTAAACCCTTAACCCCTAAACCCCTAAACCCCTAAACCCTAAAAACGCCAGGAATCCGTTCGGCCGCTTTGTGGCCGTAGCCGGCTTCGGAACTCTTCCAGGGGACTTGGACTTCTACGTGGCTTGGCCGCTTGGGGTTTAGGAGTTTAGGGCTTGGGTTTAGGGTTTAGGAGTTTAGGGGGTTTAGGGCTTAGGTTTAGGGTTTAGGGTTTAGGAGTTTAGGGCTTAGGTTTAGGAGTTTAGGGCTTAGGTTTAGGGTTTAGGGCTTAGGTTTAGGGTTTAGGTTTAAGGGCTTCGGGGTGTAGGGTTTAGGGTTTAGGGGTTTAGGGGCTTAGGGTTTAGGAGTTTGGGGTGTAGGTTCAGGGTCTAGGTTTAAGGGCTTCGGTTCTAGGGTTCCGGCTCGCTAAAAGTTTAAGGGAGCTTGGCATTGAAGGGCTTGGGTCCGGGTGCTCAGGGCTTAGAGGGTTTGCGGGTTTTAGGGGTTTAAGGGCTTCGGGCTCAGGTGTTTCGGCTCTAGAGTTTCAGGTTAGGGTTGAGGGGCGTACGGCTTACTTGGGGTTTAGGGGTCTGCGACTTTGGCTATAAGATAGAAGCTGATAGAAGCAATTAGGGGTTCTTGCCGCAACTTCTGTTATTCATAAGGGCTTCTCCTATCCGTTTTCAGGGCTTCGGTTTGGGTTTGGGGCACAGTTCCTAGGGTGGGCAATCAAAGCCTTTGTTTTCATGGGCAAGGCTGTCGGGTCGCTGAAATTTGCCGTTTTGGCTTCGAGTGTGGGGTGGGAAATTGAGCCAGGGTTCGGGGCCCTCTGGGCGCTTGGCCCTAAAGTTCGGTTTAGGGTTTAGGGTTTAGGGTAAAGTCTACCGTAGCAGAAGCCCAAAAGTTGGAAACCCAATAACCTCAATCCTTAAGACGAATGTATAGGGAATCCCAGCACTACTTAGGCCTTTATCAGGTTTCCAACCTTATGGGGTTTACTATACTGCGAGTTTTCTCCCGAAGGTTTATAGGGCTTCTGGTTATGGGCTGCAAGGGTGCTTGGTCCTTATCGTGTCGGCTTTGAAGCTTTAGGGTCTTCTGTGGTGTGACAACTATAGGTAGGCTTTTGGGACATTTTACATTTTCCTTTGTTGGGCTTAATAGGGCCCTATTTACGAATATTTTCAGAGGCTTTAAAGGGCCAACGTAGATAACAAGATGCGTGAGTACACCAGTAATTCGCTCGACCACTTGTCACACGCACCTGTATGGGGAATACCTATTAGACTAATTCGCGGTTCCCGAATGTCAAACCCCTGCTTCGCAGTATGTCACTATGTAACAGTGTTATTTACAGCGTTGTCAGCTTGCGAACTGTACGGGAATATAATAGCACAGAACTTGATATACTACCGTATAATGTAGGGTAGGTTAGGGTTTACAGAGTTTAGGATTTTGGCCCTCAGAATTGCTGTCACTAGTTAGGAAGTCTTGTACGAAGGCAGCCCAAAACCCGCGTGCCCAGTGAGCCACGCATTCCAATACATATTGTACACATACCCTAAACACCGCCTCCCAGGCAGGCCTTAAACCCAGTAGGCTACACCTTAAAGTCCAACCCGCAGCAAACACCAAGCCGAACAGACCTACCAGCAGTAGGACCTGGCCACACCGTGAAACCCATACTATAGGGGCCTAATAATTACCTACACTAGTTTGGGGATTCCTTATTGTACTGAAATATGGTATAATGGGCCCCAAACCCTATTCTAATTATTGAGGCCCCTTTATTACCCGAAACAACCCTAAACCCAATCCAGGATCGCTCCAAGGACGAGACAGTATCCTCGCTGCGAGCTGCTTTGACCGCGCCGGGCTCAGACCAGCTCGGTTTGGGGCTCTGTTGTTCGTTAAGGTTCTTTGGGGTTCTGTGTTTTGCTATGTAGTATCGGGGGTTTAGAGCTTTTAGGGTCTAGAGATTTTTAGGGTTTGGGGGCTACCACTGGGAACAGCTTATGGGTGATCTTAATATCGATCCTAAGTTTGCGAGTAAGGCGCATTTTGAGTCAGATCCAAGACTGGGGTTGTCAAGGGGATTGCAATATCCTTATTATCGGGGGGCCAATCAAGCTGGCGTAGTTGTGTTATTGTCTTAACCTTCAGATCCATATGGGTATTAATCAATATGGGGATGTAGAATGGGGTTCTTAGCCGACATAGCAGTTTGATCCATACGAAGTAAGACGTTGATCTATAAGGGTTCTCGTGTGGGTGAAAAAGAAACAGGAGTCAATCAAGGTTCACGGTCACACATACGTATTGCTGGGGCTTTGATCTGAGACTACAGTGAAGGCTATTTCGGGGTTGCTACTCGGGTCCAGCGTTTATCTTCGGGTATTCAGACAGAAACTTTCATCGTTAATCATCTCTCGGAGTATCTGCGTAAAGGGTCGCAAAGAATTGAGAATGAAGACGGCTGCCGTCATACATATGCTCTCCCTTCGGAACTTCAAAAACTGAATCATACACCCGAAGCTTAAATATGCAGAGGGATTGGTGGCGGTATCGTGGCACCTCGCAGTAGTTCTTCAGGGCGGGGTTAGCCTGTATATATATATATATATATGTACATACGCACGTATACATATACATTTAAATAAACATAAAGATACACATATACCCATATACATACACCTCACGTATACATATGCGTATACACAAACATATACATATACATATAGATATACATAGACATAGACATGGACATAGACATAGACATCTACATCTACATCTACATCTACATATACGTATACATATCCATATGCATATGCATGTGCATGTACATGTACACATACACATACACGTACGCATACACATACACATACACATAGACATAGACATACACACATAATAAGCATACATATATATATATATATATATATATGCTACCCCCCCCTCATGTACCCACGCTTTGCGCTTGAATTGTGCGGGATCGTCGTCGTGGCAATACAAACCTTTCCAATCTCCACTGTTCTTGGTTGTATGCAAAGTACACGAAAGTACTAATATTTTCTTCTATGCCAGCACCAAGTGTAGTTTCACTGTTACATTTACCAATGATGCTCTTCCTGTGACCAGTGTCTTTACTACTATGGTTATACCCACCGTTCTGATTGCTTCAGTAATACCAACCCAGCTAACACTCTTTATTTCCGCCTGTCTTACCATGTCTGAATAAAAACTTTCCTAGGTACGTAACCCAGCTAACACTCTTTATTTCCCCCTGTATTAGTTTGTCTGAAAAACAAACTTTCCTAGGTACGCTAGTCCCGTGGCTACTGTTCACCCTGCTTCATACTAGCCCGACCAGTAAAAGTAAATGTTAAGCTATATTGCAATTGGTACTGACTAGATAAATTTGTTGTTGTCGCTGTCTTGTATTGATATGAACTGTAAGGTTTACATGCTTATTCTGAGCTCGGTAATCTTTAGCCTATGCATCATCTGAATCATGTCCATCCTATCGAGCTGGAGCTTGTGTGTTCTTACAGAGTCGTTTACATGTTTCGCACCTAATGCATGATGACCAATAAAGACTCCTGCATGTCAGAGTTTTGCAGTGACTGTACTGGGTAGTGCTGTTTACTGTAAGCACCAGTTAAAGACGTACAAACGTGAAGGTGCACCACCTAGAGACACCCCATCCAAGCATGAAGCAACACACGTTATACATGTACCTTTAGAAAAGTGTAAGCGACGCCAATACATTTTCCATATAACACTAAATTTCCCTGAGTCAAGGCTTCAGTCCTAGACAAGAGTAGACGATACGTCTAGTTCCGTACACGGTAACGGACGAAGACGATAAATTAAGTGGTCTTATCACAGTACCGTCTTCAGGCAGAGATTCATGCCTAGTCTTATACAGCATGAAAGGACTGATTTCATGAAGATGTTCACGAAACATGCAGCAACATATGTAATCACATCGCAAGAGCACATATGTCATATGTGTGCCCAACAAATGAATCCGGCCAATCCGTCAAACTATAAAACTAGTGGTTAGGCCGGTTAGGCCGACTAAATTTCATCAACATTTTTGCACATGTCAAAAGCGTATTAACAGTTCTATCAATATGAACTTCAGTTTTCCTAGTTGTACGACGCCGCTGGAATGGAATTGCTGTGCTAGTCTACATGTCCAAACAGTAAAACAGAAATGACGGGATGAATCACGGCAGTCACAGCTGTATGGTAACGTAAATGACTGGCATACTTCACAAAAGACCAGACCTTGCATATAACCAACATGCCAATAGAAGGCGAAGGGGAGCCGGGAAATAAGTCTGGAACACAAGATGTTCATTTTGGTGTTGACGGTACGATAACTGCAATGACGATGAAGTTGATTGAACAGATCACTGCACAATGGGCTAGATCATGGAGGATTACGTCAACGTGTAAATGATAAAAACGATACTCAGAATCGTGCTGGGCTTACATCTCCTGAAGCAACAAACACAGTATTGACTAAATAATGACTGGCATACTTCATGACAAACCAGATGTTATAACTACCATGACAATACACACGCCGAGTAAGGAGGGAAACCGAATCATCCGAATCATTTCCGAATCATTTTGATTCGGGCCCGGATCCAAGATTCAAGATTCAAGATTGCCCAGGGGTCTTGCCAAGGAATCTTGGATCCGACCCTTCATCCGAATCATCCGAATCATTTCCGAATCATTTTGATTCGGGCGCGGGCCCGGATCCAAGATCCAAGATTCAAGATTGCCCAGGGGTCTTGCCAAGGAATCTTGGATCCAATGGGTGAGTGTCGGATCCAAGATGCTCAGGCAAGACCCCTGGGCAATCTTGAATCTTGGATCTTGGATCCAGCGCCGGGGCCGAATCAAAATGATTCGGAAATGATTCGGATGATTCGGATGAAGGGTCGGATCCAAGATTGCTTGGCAAGACCCCTCAGCAATCTTGAATCTTGAATCTTGGATCCGGGCCCGGGCCCGAATCAAAATGATTCGGAAATGATTCGGATGATTCGGATGAGGGTCGGATCCAAGATTGCCTGCGCAAGACCTCTGGGCAATCTTGGATCTTGGATCCAGCGCCGGGACCGAATCAAAATGATTCGGAGATGATTCGGATGATTCGGGGCTATTTTGGAGGGAACCCGCCAATGACATGAAATAATAAAGTACAATCTGCAGGCGCTGCCCCCAATCCCAAACTCCCACGCCATCCTGAACCTGAGATTTAGGAGAAAGGCTTGGGGACGAAGGGGATCCCGCGGACCCACGCCTTCCGAAAACTGGGATTTAGAGGAAAGGCGTGGGTACATGGGGGGGGGGGGTACCATATATATATATATATATATATATATATATATATATATACAAATAGGCCTATATATGAGCAGCTTGGTGTGTGACCTGGGTTTGACTATTTGCAACCCGCTGAAAAGAGTGGTTGCAAAAACGCAGACCCCACAGCTTCTTCTTCTGTGTATGTGCATATATATGTATATATACAGACACGTATATATGTATACATATACTTATATACACATGTGTATATCTTGATCTGTATGATATGTATTTATACATACATATATAGATATGTACATGCATATGTGTATATACATACATATATATACACATGTACATGTATATATATATATACACACATATATATATACACACATACACATACACATACACATACACATACGTATACGTAAACGTAAACGTATACGTATACGTATACGTATACCCATACCAAAACCTATACCTGTACCTATATACCTATACCTATACACATACACATACACATATACATACGCATATACATATACATATACATAGACATATATATATACATATATATATACACACATATACATAGACATATACATATACATTTACATTTACATTTGCATTTGCATTTGCATTTACATTTACATTTACATTTACACTTACATATACATATACATATATATATATATATAAAAATATACATATACATATATATATATATGTATATGTATATGTAGGCTGTATGGGGCACTTGGGAGATAGCGTCTGTGGACCTCTCTTAGGGCAGTATAGTGAAAGCCTGGTTCGCAGCATGCACCCAACACCACCCAAGTCGGATTCAATTCCCGGCCGTGGAGGCCACCGACAGTCGCGTAGCAACCTCAATATCACCGCCCGTTGCAAGCGCTGCGTTGCAATCCGACCGCTATCACATCGGGCTCTTCCGCCACTGCTGGCCGAATTGAGAATGTGGATGTGTCTACGAATTTCCTTCGTTCTGCTACTCTTGCATCGCATAACTATCCCAGGAATGCAGGCATCACAAGTGAAGATTTACGATTCCGAGCGTACGGAGAGGAATTTTTGCTGTATATGAGCTGCGTAGGTAGGAGAAACGAGCTGGGAACGCCGTCGCCCTAAGCCCCAACGTGAGTCGTTTCAGCTAAAGGCTTGTACTGTCCGAACGTACATGTATGAGTTTCAGCCGGCTCGGGCCCCAAGTGGGCTTGGTTGGATGAGAGTTTGGGGTTCTGGGGCTTTGAATAAACGAGCACGGCCTGTTGAATATAGGGATATTGAAACCTTTGCACTGGTATCAGGTTAGATTGTTTTTTATTTGATACCCTTTTTTCGCTCGCATTTCCGGCGTAGGCCTCGCAAGCTTAGGCTTCAAGTTTCGCTACAGGACCCATGGCAATTCTGTTTGTATATTGTAATATTCAAGCTCAAGATCTTTTGTCAAGAGTGATGCACGAGTGTAGCCCCTTTTGCGTGCTCATGTTTCATAGTTTTGCCTGAGCTTGGACCTGTGTGCGGACGATCACTGCTTGTTCCAGATGCCGCAAGCGCCGTAAGTGGTGCCTAGAATGAGACATATGTCGAAACATATAGCTAAATTCAGGCAGTTACAAACTGCAATCGCGCCCCGCCGGGCCGAAAAAAACGAGGGCCTAACTGTTCAGCAGGGAAGCAACAAGTTGTGGGCATATTAAAAGGTTTGGTGTGTACAAGGCTTTGAGTTTACAAGTTAGAGCGGTTTGAAGATCATAGAAGATCTTGTTCAAACATGATGTGACCTAAGCCCTAGGATTACACCTGAATTCGAAGCTTTTAACTGAATGCGCAAGCACGTCGCCGAGCTACTATACATTGACGCATGGAACGTCTGACCTGTTTCGCTTGAAATAACTTGAAATAGGGGCCTAATAATCAAAAAGAGTCTTTCGGGATGTTTAATGTGATGTGTATTCGTGTTGGGACTTTAACGGGCATGAGTAATAGTTTTTCAGATTATCGTACAAGCGTTGAACCTGTGCGTTTTGATCCTGAAACAGGAGCTTCCATCATTCGCAACATGGTTCTTCGGTTGATTGCGCAGATACTACTCAACCAGAAGCATCTTGGAATTACCGGTTTGTGGTAACCAAAACTCAGTTTGTGCCCTTACGAAACCCCAGCATAAATATCCCGAGCCTCATAACCTCGAATTCCGCTGGGTGTAACGATTCTGGCACCATGCAGCAAAGCAGGTTTTTCGCAGGTAGAGATACCGACCCCCAATTATGTTGCCGCAAGTGTCGAAGCCCCATGCCGCTCGCCGAGGTGGACTGCTCCTGGTTTGGGGACGGCAGGCTTTGCTGCTCGCTTTGGGGGTTTGGATGTTCCTTTTGCTTCCGGTCCAAAGCTGGTATTCAGATATCATAGTTGCAGGTATTGTCATTCTCCGCCACTGCTTCCTCTCTACTTACTACGCCTTGTTAGATTATTTCTGCTACCACTACTGACTACTATTACTATTACTACGACTACTACTACTCCTCCTCCTCCTCCTCCTGCTGCTGCTGCTGCTGCTGCATTTGAAAACTGCCACTGCCACTGCCACTGCTACTGCTACTGCTACTGCTGCTATAGTTTTTGTTAAGTCTCATCTTGACTATGTATACTAGGGCTACTACTCCTGCTGCTACTGCTCCCGCTCCCGCTCTTGCTTCTGCTCCTGCAAATGGTGCTGCTACTGCTCCCGCTGTTGCAACTGCTGCTGCTACTACTATTTACTCTGTACTACTACCACCTGGTACCACTGCTACTGCTGTTACTACTACTCCTCCTGCTGCTGTTGCTGCCACTACCACTATCATTACTATCACCATTACCTATACTGCTACTACTACTACTACTACTGCTGCTACTGCGGTTACTGCTACTGCTACCCCTACTATTCCTACTCCCTCCTATTGCTACTACTAAACTACTGCGGCTACTGCTGCTACTGCTGCTCCACTCCTACTACTATATACTACGACTGCTACTATTACTACTACTACTACTACTACTACTACTACTACTACTACTACTACTACTACTACTACTAATAACAATAATAATAGTAATAATAATATTAGATAGTGATAGCAATAATGCAAATACTAGTCTTTCCTTTTCTCTACGACTGCTACTCTTGCTGCCAGCGCCGCTACTGCAATGAAGCATCGATACTGCAATACATGTGCATGGAACCTTAAAGTTGCCAGGCAGCTGCAGAACGAACTACTTGAACTTTACGGCGGGGTTTAGGGTATGGGGCTTAGGGTTTAGGGTATGGGGTTTGGGAGTTTCAACGCGCTGCTGACGAATTTGTCTTCTAAACAGACCCGCACAGGCAGTGATGCTGCCAAGAGACATGTGGTTCTCAAGCAAAGCAAGCAGCCCGACGCCTGGTGGAGGCATTTCATGTCCGCCACCGTGGCTCCACGCATGAACGAGGGCAACCAAGTGACGATCTACAAGTGCCCTGTTGAGCATGTAGGTCTGAGGATTCAGGAGTTCAGGATTCAACGACAGGATTTTTTTTGGTTTGGGCTTAGGGGCTTCAGCAGGCGACTCCAGGTTTTGCTTTGAATTTACTTTGAAACCTGACCCACAGCCTCGTCCCGGACACTTAAATGCCCTTTGAAGGCCTTCAGTTAACCGGACTGTTGGGCGGCAACAACTGAGGCCAGTACAAAAAAGGAACGACCCTAAAGCCTAAACTCCCCTAGGCCCTAAGCCGAGTAAGGGTTCAAGACAAAGACGAGTGAAAAGCAACGACTGTTCAAGCCGATCCTCTCGATTCCAGCCCCCGTTCCACAACGCATTTTTTGAGCGACGCCTGACGTGGATCCTAGGACCTAGGATCTTTGGAAGTTTTGCAGTTGCTTCCATAAGAAGTAGGTTTGCTCCGACTCGATTCCCTCATATCCTTCCTGGCTATAGCAAGCCAGTTTCAAAGTGAGGTGTAAATCTATGATTAACCTGTGCGGGTCCCTCATGGTGAGCTGAGTTTGGTTCAGGCATGTCGGGACCACTGGGGAACATGAACCATCGGTTGTGTCAGCAGCGCGATGAAACGGAACAAGGGTAAATCAAAGTGGCAGGCGCATAGCCCGTACAGTACCCAGTAGTTTTCACACAACTTTCTCGAAGATTCTGTGGCTTAGACCTAGGACTTGGGGTCTGGTAGTATAATCACAATACCAATGCTCATAATAACACCAGTGGCAATAACAGTAAGCATAGTAAGAACATCACAACAATAGTGCTGGTTATCACAATCATAGTGCTGGTTATAACATCAAACAGTACTAATCATCATCAGAACCAGATCACAACCATCACCATCAACATAGTGAATGCATCACTAATGGTAGTGATATTAACAAAGGCAAAGCAACAATATGCAATAATGAGATAACGAGTAAGATAAAAGCAAGAGGTAGTAAATAGCAACAACGATAACACTACAAGTAGAAGTAGAAGTAGTACTAGTAGTAGTAGTAGTAGTAGTAGTAGTAGTAGTAGTAGTAGTAGTAGTAGTAGCAGTAGTACACATCGTACCAGCAATAGTAATGACCCAAAGCCTAAGCTCCCTTGCGCCCAAGGTACACTGGTGAGCCCTTGGCCAAGATCGCACATTGGCTGGCAACTAGATGTTTCGGGTGCTGAGGGACCTGGTATGATGTAGCAGCGTCAAGGGCCGGTAGTGAGAGCAAGTCTAAGCTTGTCCTTCCCTATTCTGATATAGTTAATACATAAATACATAGATAGATTAATAAGCAAATAAATACGCACATACATATATATATATATACATACATATATAAATATATACATATATACATATATAGATACAGGTTTCTAGGTGTATAAACGCATATGTATATATACACACACATAACACAATTTGTGTGTGTGTGTGTGAGGGGGGAGTTGGTTTTGTTTGCCTTTGTTTTTTTCTGGCCGTGTTTCCGGCCCCTAGAATCATTGCAAGCAGTTTTGGGTTAAGCATTGCAGGATAATGGTTCAGGACTAGACGCTTTGATAGAAGTATCCTGCTCAGTGAACCCTCCAGACTCAGAGTACCTGGCTTTGGGGTGGGCGTTCGGTCTATAATACAGGGGCCGAAATAATTACCTATAGTATTTTGGGATTCCTTATTATGGTTATAGTATAATGGGCCCCAAAACTCTATTCTAACTATTCAGGCCCCTATAGTATGTTGCTGCACTACGACGCTGTAAAGCCGAAGCCTGCCGCCCGAAGTAAAGTGGCCGCTGATTGTTTTTTGAAGATAACCTGTGGAATTTGTTAGAAGGTGCCCTCACCCTGTAGTAGTGGTATAATAGGAATATGATAGGGCGCTAATATAATATTTATAGTCACTATTACAGGGTGGGGGCAGCTTCTAAGGAATTTGTGTGGATATTTGGGCGAAGCGAACAAGACTTCAAGAGGGACTGCCTACTATGTTACTGTGTGCTTTTGTGCATTCCATCCTGTGCAAGAATGGCTCAGCACACGGGATGACGAATCCTTCCACCCAGACCACAGTCATAATCCACAAGGCCCTAACGGTCCCAACGCCAAAAGCATGAAGCCCTAAATCGCGAAACATCCTGCTCCCCTACACGTAAACCGACTCCCGCAAAAGCCTATATAATCCCCCGAAGCCCCAAAATACGACAGAATCTATAATACAGGGGCCTTAATAATTTTTGAATAGGGTTTTGCAGTATATTATACTATAACCATAGTAAGGAATACCCAAAATAGTGTAGGTAATTACTAAGGCCCCTATATTACCGTACCCTGGATCCCTGAAGCCCGGCAGTCAAAAACCCCAAAAAGCTGCAAAAACCCCAGAGCTTCAACCCCACACGGCAATAGGCTTGAAAGAACTCACCCGAACCCCAAAACCCCAAACCCCACACCCTAGTGAAGCCTATAGACCCATTACAAAAGTACTACACCCCGAGCCCTAAAGCAATAAAACTCTGAACACTTATGGGATGGAACAAGAGTCGCTCGGCAAAAAAAACTCAAGCAGCCAAATCAAATATAGGGGTGTTTATAATTAGAATAGGTTTGTGGGGCCCATTAAACTATAGTTATAATAAGGAACCCCCAAAATAGTATAGCTACAAGCATTGCTGACTTCTTGGGCCCAGGAGTTCAAGCCCGATAAGATCGAGGCTCGCCACGAAGACACCGGAGCTGGTGCGAGGACGCGCGCAGGGAGAGGGTTTAGGGTTTAGGGTTTAGGGTTGGGGGTTTAGGGTTTAGGGTTTAGGGGGGGTCAGGAATAAGATTTATGGTTTAGGCTTCGGGTCTCGAGCTACGGTTTCGGATTTAGGGCATAGCCCGATGGAGCTGTAGAGGTGAGCTTCGTTGGTCTGCGAGGCTTTCGCGAATTTAGGGCTTTGATGATGTCATTGAAACCTAAAAGCCCAAGCCTAAGTCGGAGATGGAGACTATGGTTCGAAAGTCGAGAGATCGCTCACAGGACACAGGTCTGGTCTCTAGCATAATATGCATCTTGTCAAACAAGAGCAGCAGCGATGGCGTTTGACTTTTCAGGGATTCCCCCTGAAAACACCCCAAGCCCTTATTGCCAAGGTGGATCCCGGATTTCATATGAAACTCCTGCCAGGAGCAGGCCCCACGCGTTGTTTACATCCAGGTGTCGATGTTTAAGAGACAACTCAGGAAGTCTAGTCTGATTGGCTCAAATAAGTAAAATTAACCAGAATAGCCAGGACTAAAAGGTTGTTATGTTTTTTGCGAATGATATTATTCGTATGTTGATAATTATGGTTGTTTTTCTTCTTATGGCTCTTATTGCTGTCTTGTCATCTTAATTGTTCTTGTTATTCAGGCTGGTACTAGTACTAGCAGCAGCAGCAGCAGCAGCAGCAGCAGCAGCAGCAGCAGTGGTAGTGTGTACTGCTCAGCGTTCTTTCCAGGACGAAGACGCAGGCCTTGCTCTATGCTGCCAAATGGCGCCCAGATGGGAAAAAGGCACATGAGGCGCCACGCTTATGGTTTAGGGCAGAGGGCTTAGGGGTTTAGGGTTTAAGGTGTTAGGATTCTTTGGGGGTTTAGGGTTGGGGGTTGACGGTTTGGGATTTGGCGTTTCGTTGGATTCCTTTTTAGGGGTTGAGGGTGAACAGAGGGTTTAGGGTAGTTGCGGCAGTAAATGAGGCATTACAAAGGCGTTAGATGACGTCACAAGGGCTTCGCGCCAGATATTGGAAGGGGTATCCGGTAATTTAGTGATGAGGGTCAGAGTTCAGTTAAGTACGGGTACATGAAAATCTATCCCAAAGCGGTACTGCCAAAACCTTTATTTACCAAGTCCCCAGATCTTTCAAGATATGGGATTGTATTCAAACTTCCCTATATACTTTCTAAGTCCCAAGATCCTTTTCGGTATGGTGTGGGACTCAATCTTCGAATTTTTGCTTCTGTACTAAGTCCCCAGATGGGTAGTTGTCAAAATTATGGTCCCTTTTAGGGTCCCTATTGTAATACGGCACCTAATATGCAAGGTACCCAAAAAAGGACCTGAATTTGACATTTACCCGTATCGAAGGCTCGACGTACCAGCTCCTGAGACCAACGAACCCGCACACTAAAGGGTTTAGGGCCTTTGGGCATAGGGTTTGGGGTTTAGGGTTTTGGGTTTCAGGTTTAGGGCGTAGGGTTTAGGTTTTTTTTTTGGGGTGTAGGGCTGAGGGTGTACCTAGTTGGGCACTCTGGGGTCCAAGTATATACTGTTTTGGACCCTTCTCGAAAGGCCTAATGTGGCAAAGCCAGCCTGAAAGCTACCCCAACCTACCGTCATGGAGCCTACCTAGCCCATCTTCATCTGGTCTATACCCCAAGCACCCATCGAAGGCCAATAGAACCTCTGCATAGTCTTCTACGATCCTACTAATCCCTATACCCTAAAGGCCCTAAGCCCGAAACCCTGAACCCTATACACCCCAATCCCTCTCTACCCTAATCCCTATGTACCCTAAGCTCTAGTACGAAGCCGATGGTCTCCTCCCAGGATCGCCCTGCCAGCCCTCCGCGCGATGGCGAGAAAAGGCCAAAAGGCCGCCTCCGCGGAGTTGTGCCCTTTTTCAGGTCTTACGGTTGATGATATAAATCCTGGGGTTCCTTTAAAGGGATCTACACGGGTTCCTTTACTTTAAGGGATCTATAGGGTTTTAGGGTTTGGGATGTATAAATCCTGCATTACCTTAAGGACCCTAAACTATGGGAATGTATGGTATATTCCTTATTATGGGTAGTGCAGGATTTGTATCATCAACCATAAAATTGGGTGTAGGGTTGAAGGTCTCCTTGGAGGTTCATGGGTAGTTATAAGTAGAGTAGGGTTTTGGGTTCAGGATTTAAGGTCCAGGGTTTTGGGCTCAGGGGTAATTATAAGTGGGGTTATAAGTCCCTAAAAATGGGTTATAAGTATAGCTTCCCTAATTATAACCCTACTTATAACCACCCATGAACCTCCAAGTAAGATTGGGTTTAGGGCTTGCCCTAAGGGTTGCGGGGAGAATGGTGTGCCGCCCACATTCTATAGCAGTTAGATAATATTTGCATTAGCGGTCTTAAGATTGAGGCTTGTAAGGGTTTCACTAAGTATAGGGGAAAATTGGGACCTAGCCCCAAATAGCCTACTACCTTTCTCAGGGCATGTATAAGGGAAATCGTATCAAGGGGCCCTCAAAAGGTAAGTTTCTTAGGGTCCAGGGAGGTCTTAAGAGTGGGTACTGCCTGCATCTGGTAGCAGCACTGTAACAGCTGGATACTACTATTGTAATATGCAGATGTATCAGCCCTTAATGTAACCCCTAGTTTAGACTGTTGCAGGGTGAGGGCTGTACTGTAGCCATTATGGCGGCCGTAAGAATGAGAATAGGAATAGGCTTCCTTTATAGAAGGCTGCTTTTGAGCAGGGCTATGTAAGGGCTCTATAGCAGGATTGGGGGTCTTCTACGGTACACTTATAATGGGAAAACTAAGTTAGCATCAGGTCCCTGTAAGGCTGTAAGATAAGGGTTCTATACCATTTAGTACAGGGCTGAAGGTTTCAGGAGTTAAGAGTCCTTTGATGCGGTTGGATGGGGCTGTTAAGGGGGTTCTATTGGGTTTGTTAGAGGGCCAGAGAGCTCAAGGTCTGGGGTTAAGGCTGCCAAGCTTGGGGTTTATGGTTGGGAGTGTTCAGAGTCTACATTTCATCTCATAGAGTCAAGCAGTTTTCCAAAGCTGCGGGAGTGGTATTTGAGGGTGTCAGGTTAGGTTCGGGTGTAGCATCCCGGAAGGGGGGGGGGAAATTAGGGCACAGATGAGTTTTCAGAGATCGCTGGTTTCAACCTGTTGGCGTTCAGACTGGCTGTGGCTATGCTTACATTGGTCCAACTTATGATCTTGTATAACAGATATGGCAGTTCTCCCATTGTTTGCACAGCATGGTCTTGTTGCACCGCTTAGCGATATCTTTCAGACCTGGTGTGCAAATACATTGCTGATCCGCATCATCACATTTCCTTTCTGAACCATGGCAGAATATCCCCCGAAAGCTTGACTATCGACTCCGTGTTTTTGTCCTCAAATCTTCAAGGACTGCAGAGGGACCAGAGTCCTGCAAGACCTATAAGACGAAGGCCCCCAAACCCGCTTGTTGAAAGACCCACTACATCGGAGATTCCCGGCGCATCCTCACACCCTTAATCTCAACCCCAACCCTGAAGCCTGAACCCCACGAGCCCTCACCCTCCCTGAATCCTACTGTAGTATCATTCCTAAGGTGCCTGATACTGCTAATGGTTTTAGTATTATATACCCGAAAACTACCCTGTCCTAATTATTAAGGCCCCTAGACTTCAAGACCCAGAATCCGCGGAGGCCTTCCCACCAACGCAGCTGCAGGCGGCACAGGTCCTCCCGCTGGCGGCGCCTATCGCCCAAGGCGTCTGTTCCTTTGCGGGCTCAGGGGTTTAATAAAGGGGCTCTAAATACATTAATTAATAATTTCCAATCTTTGGGGGTAATATTATTAGTATATAGTATAACGGGCCGCAAACCACCATTTTAATTATTATTATTATTATTATTATTATTATTATTAAGGCCCCTTTTTTGTTCTTCGAGTCTCTGAGGGTTTTATTGGATCTGCGTTTTAGATATACTGTCCAATGCAGAGAGCCCTTCCCGTTGTCTTCACCTTTTCTGCCTGCAACTCAATCGTGGGAACAACTCTTGCGTCCAGGAACGGATCCCCAGAAACGCATGCGCATAAAGATAGTAGATTTTAGAAGGGGCCCCCACACTGAAATAGTGACTATAAGGGCTATATTAGGGCCGTGTTATATTCCTATTATACCACTATTACAGGGTGGGGGCCCCTTCTAAAGTAGATTGTTCGAAACCTTCAAAATGCCTTGTACCCTCAAATAGGGGTATATGATCCCAAATAAGGGGCATTTAGGGTCTAATAGAGGGTAGATGGAGGGTCTAGGAGTAGATTGTTCGAAACCTTCAAAATGCTTTGGTATAATGGGGACTCCACTGCTGGCTTTCTATCGTCCCTGGAGCTGGTTACCGAGGGTTTAGGGTTTAGGGTTTAGGGTTTAGGGTTTAGGGTTTAGGGTTTAGGGCAGGGCCTCCAGGGATTCAGCTCATTGCAGAAGCCCTGTGCCCTGGCCTTTCAAGCCCGAAAGCGCTAAATCTGAAACCCCTAACCCCGACAGTTTCTGGGGAACCTTTGTTCATAAAGCCCGATATGACCGAATGAACCGAGCACACCCTGAAGGCAAGACTTCGACTTTAGAAAGCACCCGTATGATCGTTTATGAGATAGTATGACCCGTAAACCCCAGAACATAGAAACTCTTTACTGAGCCTCAAGCTCTGCACCCTACGCTAGAAGTTAAACTCCATACACCCCAGAAGAAACCTAAACCCGTGAAGAAAAAGCCCTGAGCCCCAAACCCGGCTGTGAGGAATGCCGATGGCGGTGTTGGCACGGTCGCGGCGATGATGCGCGGAGAGGCCGACGAGGGGCTGCTACAATGGCTTTAGGACTTAGAGGCTTGAGGGTGTTGTTGTTTAGAGTGTAGGATTGCTACAATGGCTTTAGGACTTAGAGGCTTGAGGGTGTTGTTGTTTAGAGTGTAGGATTTCGCGGTTATTCTTTACAGCAATTCGAAGCTTTAGCCCATAGGCTTAGGAAATGAAAGGGATGGCATTGAAACTGCTGCAGGCCTGTCTTGTTTACCCACAAGCCGTTCCAAGTTTGGTCTAGGAATAGGAGTCGTTGTCGCCGTACGTTAAAGGACATGGCACATGCAGGAACAACCAAGCCGTCTCCAGGCTTACGGCCTCGACGTGCCTCATGCAATGCTCGTCATGAATCCGCGGTCCATCAATGACTTCGACTCCTTCGGAATCCAGAGGGATGTCGCCCGCTACTACACATCGGTGACAAAAGCTCGCGAGACGGCCCAACACTGGTATAGAAGCGCTCGCATCTCCTTCCCGGCGCGATGGAGCCGCTAGAGCCTCCCAGCGTCGCCGTACTCGTCCAGCGTGCTTTGGTTGCAATTTTAGGGTTGTGGGCGGAGGAGATTGAAGGAGTAGGCGGCCTGACACTTGGTCAGCCAAAGCTCCAGCGTGCATGCTGGAGAAGCAGGAGAAGTGGTCGCGCTTGCAAGCTCCTCTGGTGCAAGTGGATCTTGCGTCGAGCAAGCGGCCCAGGCCACAACTCCAATATTTCATTGTCACTGCTTAGAAGCAAGTGACAAATGCCAATCACAGCCGAAGCCCAACACGAGAAACCCAAACCCAAAGCCCAAAGCGTCTCGAAGCTTTGAAACCCTAGAGGTCCTTATAATACCCAAATCAAGAATGATTTGTGGTTCTGTTTGACTTCTGACAAGACTTCTAGTTTCACCTGGTATATATAATTTGTCGGGTCCTATCCTACAAACTTATGGGTTTGGGGTTTATGCAGCGCAATAAAAAGCTAGACTCCAATTTTCGACTGCAAGCCCTTCAGCCCCCATAAAGCCTTAAGACCTTAAGGCCCCAATGCCGTGCTCCCAAGCCCAATCCTCAAAGAACTCAAAAGCCCTAGAGCCTGCAAGCCGTCCCTTGTAAGATAGGGATCTGAGCATTGGACATGTTTGTCTAGCTTTATGTGCACATGCCTAGGACCTACTTATTACAACCCCGCACATTTTACGCCCTGCTGAACCTCAACTAAATCCGTGTGGAACCCAAACCCTAAACCGCCAACCTCAACTAAGTCCGGGTGGAAGCCAACACCCTAGTTCGGGTGGAGCCTAAACCCTACGAACCTCAACTAATTCCGGGTTGAGCCTAAACCCTAGAAGCCCCGAACCTCAACTAGTTCCGGCCTAAACCCTAAAGCCTCAAACCCTAAACCCTAAACCTTAAAGCCTCAAGCAAGTCCTTGTGGATGCAGATCAACGTCCCGGAATCTGCCGGACCTGGCCGGGGGCGGCTGGAGGAGTGGGAGGCGCCAAGAGGGGGCTCTGCGTTACAGGGTTTTGGGTTTAAGGGTTTTGGATGTTTTGGGCTTTGGGGTGGTTTTTAGGTTTTTTTTTTTCGGGGGGTTCAGTGTCTATAGGGTGCACTGCAGGGGTTTGGGTTTCTGACTCTTGAGGCCCGCTGGCGGGTAGGTGTTGGATTTGATTTGGGGGGACTTTACGTATACATATACGGTGCATGTGTTCAGTGTTTGAATGGGTTCGAACTGTTAGTGCGTATTTTTGTGGTGTGGATTTATGGATTAGGGTTCAGTTCGCAGGGTTTTTGGAAGTTATCACCAACTCACAGTCGTTAGGCATTCGTCATTTTAGGTGACATAATTTGTTGACATGAATGTCACGATGTCAACAGTCTCGTTCCGGCGAGGGTTTAGGGTTCTAGGGCTTACAAATCAGAGGGATGATTGCTAGAGGTCAGCTTAACTTAGACAGAGACTCCGAAAAGTCTACAACCCTCAAGCCCTAAAGCCTTCATGCCCAAAACCTGAGCACTACACCCTCACATCCTTCAGATGGAGGACTTGTTTCCTGACCCCCAGTCCTTCCTCCAATCCTGCAGCCGGAACCGTCAGTGCTGTTTGGCAGCTTCTTCAAAGCCTATCCCCTAAAGCCTGGCTGTGATTACCCAGTTCTTGAGGGGTTTATGGGTGGTTGTCAAAATTATGGTCCCTGTCTGGGTCCCTAATATAGTATGGCACCTTATATTTAGGGAACCCCAAAAGGGACCATAATTTTGATAACCACCCATATATGTCCCTGTTAAGTGTTTACGAACCACCGCTTTATGGCCGACTTGACGTTCAAGGGACTCCATATTTACTGTTGTCAGAAATGCAGCTCTAATTGCCCTTCCCAACAGTCGAGTTGAGGTACTTACAACATTATCTACCAAGTCCTCTGGGCCTCTACTTTAGTAGCTGAGTAGGTAACCTTTAACCTATCGGGGTTCATGTAACCCCACCATATAAGTGAAAAGGATAACCTTTTGTGGTCTAGCGTACTCAATCCCTTAGCCACAAGACCCACCCCACTCTACAAATACCATGGGGGCCTTAAGAATTACCTATACCATTTTGGAGGTTCCTTTTTATGATTATAATATAAAGGGCCCCAAAAACCTATTCTAATTATTAGGGCCCCTATACTACCCTGCCAGTCCAAGCCGGTTGCGCCACAGCTGGAAGAGTGGGAGCAACTCGGCCGAATGGTCTGGGGCTGGTCGGCAGAACAGGGTTGGCCTTGCGGCTTTGAAGTCAAAGGCTTCGGCGTTCGGGGTCTAGGGTGGCAATACTAAGCCAAAAAATACACATAATATGCATGCATATATATATATATATATATATATAGATAGATATGATCAACCCCCTTTCCCCCCAAGACCTACAGCGATGTGCTTCGGCTGCGACGTTGAGCAACGTCTGGCTTGCTGTTCCAGGGTTTAGGCTTTCGTTTAATCACTTGGCTACTTGTTTTGGTTATGAAGACATGTGCGGAACATCTAACCATAACCGTTTCGTCTGAGTACTGTAAAGCTACAAAATACTAACTGTTATTGTATATTCCTTGCTTCTATTGTGTCCAAAGTTGTGTGAGTTGAAATCTCCACTATTTTGGGGTTCCTTATTATAAGTATGGTACAACATACACCAAAACTTTGATTTAACTGTTTAGGCACTCCTACAAGGTGCCTCTCAAACACGAAATCCCACGCCCTGACCTGTACATTTCAGACATCATGAACCTTGAAGCCCTTAACCCCAAGTCCTAGAACCTTGAAAATCTTAGCCACAAAATTATCCAAAGTGCCCGGATTGCAACAAAAACACATTCACCAGGATCAAGAAGCTGGAGAAGGAGGCGCATGTGGTTCCGTCGCTGCGGGGTGGCGGGGGTCAGGATAGACCTAGGCTGCACCCGCAGCCAAAACAAAACCTCTACGTACAAATCAACGCGACTCAAGCCCTACCATAGAATTGGTCAACCCCCAAAAAGAAACTACAATGGAGACTATAGGTACTGCCCAACCTCTCCACCCTTTACAGTAGAAGCCAGAAAGTTGGAATATCATTATCGTAACCCCTTTAAGGTCAATTATAGGGGATCCTACCATTAATCCATATTCCAACTTTCTGGAGTTCCCTTTACACCCTAGAGGTACCAGACCCCAAGCAAGTGGTGAATTGAAAGCTTCAGCGAAGGCTTCGGGTTCCGGGGTTCAGTTGGAAAAACGCAGACACATGGCCCCGATGCGCCCCGAGTCCAATATTCCTTAATTCAGAAATGTACCTTAAATCATACTAGGGATATTGGAGTCTCTGGATGACCCAGAATCAGGGACCGGCAAACTCAACAGCTCACCACACCAAGCCTCCTCAGCGAGATCCGCTGTTCAAGGGTTTCGGCTTGGATTACTATAGGGGCTTGAATAATGACCCATACTATTTGGGGCGGGGGGGTCCTTATGGTTATAGTATAATATACCCCGCAACCCCTTTCTCTTTCTCTTTCTAATCCTTAAGGCCCGTATGTTCGCGCTCGGGCTTGGGGAAGACGTTTGATACCAGCTCTGAGCGCTGCAAGCCTACACCCTAAGCCAAGGCCATAAACCCCGTACTCAACCCATACTCAACAGAAGGCCAAGAAGGTGGCGGAGCAAAAGCAGAAGGCCAGCCCGCACCGTTTTACTCTCTTCATCATCCTATCATCCTCACAATTCCCATCGCCACAACCAGATTCAAAGCCGTCATTGTATCCTCACCCTGTCCTCAATCTGACAATCGCCTTCATCATCTCATCAGCCATTACCATCACCATCAGACCTTCATAGCCATTCAATGTGACCATCATGCCATCATGACTGTCGTCGCCATCTGTGCTTCCAACATCAGTGTCGCCATCTGCCTGGTCATATTCTCCACGACCATGGTCGTCATCGTCGTCGACTTTGTCTTTGTCTTTGAAAGTCGTTATCCCGACTATCAGCACCATTGTCGTCACCATATTCCGAGTGATCGTCATGCTCACTCGCTTTGTGCAGCAGCAACAGCAGCATCACTAGCTCAGTCCCTTCATCATCAAACCCGTCATCAACACACCACCGCCGTCATCCTGTTCACGAGCATGAATAATGACTTAAGGACATGAACATCATGTTCTTCATCGTCACCATCACTATCGCCAGCAACACCATCATCATCAGCAGCAGAAACATCATCGCCATCATCAAACAACATGGTCATCGTTCCATTCATTCGCCCCCTCTGCCTTCTGATCATCACCACTATCAAGCACCAGCACCATCGTCATCATGATCGTCATCACGACCTTCATCACCAGCAGCGACATCGTTCTTCAATACCACAGTCCCGTGCATATTCGCCATGCTCATCCCCGCATCCTTCGTCGTTCGTGCATGACCTTTATCAGTTCGTCTGTAAGACTTTGTGCTAAAACTGTGAAGCGCTGCTTGAGATCGTTCCTGGCTGCGTAAAGCATGGTGCTTGGCAGTTGTCGGTGTGGTTTAGTTGGTTGGGGAGGTCTGCATCTTATCTTGACGGGGTGCTATGCAAGGATGCTGAAGGTACAGACAGGAGCTTCTTGTTGTTTTTGGGTCATTCAAGATGCACAGTGAGTCGGGCTTCGCCGCTGAAGAGCGCTGTGGACGATTTAGATATGCTTTTCTTGGGAACCCAGTATCTCTCTAGCTTGCTTACTTGGGCTTCTCATCATAACTTAAGTTATGCTTTAGAGTCCTCAGTTGGGTGGTTTTCAAGTCTCCTCTTGAGAACACTCCCATCCTACAAGGTTGATCCTCCATCCCTGCTGAATCAGAAGACACCACGACATACCCTATAAAACCCTCAGGGCCCTGAAGTGCAAGACCTTATAAACAGGGTCGTGACTTTTTGCGGGTACCATCGTTTAGGGTAACCTGCCACGCAAGGAGGAGCAAGAGAAGAAGAAGGAGGCCCTGAGGACGCGCCGCCTCAGCGAACGCCAACCCCAAGCCTGCAAGGGGGTGAAGGATGAAGGTTTGGGGGTTTCGGGCTTGGGGTTTTAGGCATGTTGGGAATGTGTTCATGCTCGTTTGTGTTTATGTGTATATACATATATACAGATATAATCAGATATGTACGTAACTAGTCTATAAATATACTATATTATATTATAATATATATATATATATATATATATATATATATATATATATATATATATACACACATATATCTATATATATATATATATATGTATATGTATATACATATATATATATATATATATATATATATATATATATATATTATACATATACATATACATATCACGGTTTCTCAAGGGGTTGGCACGCCTTTGTACTGCAAACACACACGCAACCAAACATCAGTGATGTCTATACTATAGTCTATACCTATAAACCTTTCATAAAAGAACACGGAAACCTGTATAACCCGCATAAGCACCCACGCTGTCACACCTTCAGGGCCCATGATATCAGCATACCCCGAGCCCAAGCAGCAGAATGGACAGAGGAGCCTGGAGAAGGGCGAGAAAGACACGAAGAAACGGCGACCTCCTCGGCACTCAAAGGGGGGTTGTGCGGTTTAGGGTTTGGGGGTTTAGGGTTTGGGCAGGGTTTGCCGGTTTGGGTTTCTGCAGAAGGTGATGGAACACCGCAGCGCCTTCCTGCTAGACGGGGTCGGTGCCAGCGTAGATGGCCTAACGAAAGGAGAAGCTTGGGACATGGGAGATCTTGTGGCAGCTGCGGGCATGAGAAGCTCTAAGATGATCCTTCGGTCATCAGCCACAGTAAGTCGTGGTGACCGAGGGACCCTACTATCGTTAAGAGTAGCTGTATATGCCTGATTAATAACGTTTTCATTGTTAATATGTGTAAAGAAAGAGTGATCTACTCGATTGGAGCATGGAAGACTCGCCTGGAGGTTTTGGGGCTTTTAGGTCTTGGGGGCTATGCGGTTTTGGAGTTAAGGGGTTTAGAAAACCACTTAGCCGCTTCGTACCGTAGCACTTTTGCATGTATGGTGCCAGCGTAGATGGCCTAACGAAAGGAGAAGCTTGGGACATGGGAGATCTTGTGGCAGCTGCGGGCATGAGAAGCTCTAAGATGATCCTTCGGTCATCAGCCACAGTAAGTCGTGGTGACCGAGGGACCCTACTATCGTTAAGAGTAGCTGTATATGCCTGATTAATAACGTTTTCATTGTTAATATGTGTAAAGAAAGAGTGATCTACTCGATTGGAGCATGGAAGACTCGCCTGGAGGTTTTGGGGCTTTTAGGTCTTGGGGGCTATGCGGTTTTGGAGTTAAGGGGTTTAGAAAACCACTTAGCCGCTTCGTACCGTAGCACTTTTGCATGTATGTGGAGTGTGGCTCCTGTGCTACGTTCCGACGCTAATCCCCAAACCTGTCAACGTACAGAGACTCTGACCCCCCGGACATATACCAGAGTTTGAGATCCAACCCCGCAAACTCATGAACGCTAATGACACAGCCTTGACTACCCTGACACTAAAGCTCGCTTGCGACGAAACCTGTAGCATCCCAGACGTCCCAAACGCAATGCGGTGTAGACCGCAAAACCCGAGGATTCGTGAGCTTCAGCAACAGCTGGAAGAGTTGGAGAAAGTGAAAGACAAGGCTGCCTGGTACCACTGTTGCGGGTTTCTGCAAATGTTCTCTGGATTTGCGTCAGGGCTTGATGTTTCAATTTACAAGGACAATTTCTAGGTTTATCCCGCACACTAACCTGATGCAACCTGCAACTGGAGCCCCAAGGCCTCTGTGTTGGTAGGTCATGACCCCTTTGATCAGGATGGAATGGATGAAGTTGTAGATAACTGGAATAAGAGAGTCTAGAGTTACATTGAGGGTGGTTTAGGTGGAGTTCCAGTTCTGCGACTTCGGCCGCGAGTTTTCATGACATCCTCAGCAGTTCCGGAGCTCAAGGAACGGGTTTAGGGGTTAAGGGTTTAGGGTTCCTGAATCCCTTCTGCCACTATGTCGCAGGATTGGGACGAGCTTACCGAGGAGGCGTGGCGTCTAGTTCGGTGTGGAGGGTTTGGGGAGGAGAAACCCGTACATGAATCAACGCTGAGTGGTCGAGTGAATCTAGTACTTAACAGCTGGCCCTCAGAGCTTGTTTGCTGTTGGATCTTTTGCAAGGTTTACTTGGGGCAGTGAATTTTTGTTCGATGATGTTCTTCTCTGGCTGATCTGCTGAGTCTTATCTTATGCTGCTACCTGCACAAAAAGCGTCGAGACGAGGCGCGGGCTACACTTGGGAATCTCATGTTGGCTGCCTTCTCTTGCGTTCAAGTTCATGAATGCCACCCTACCATCACGCACACCCCGGCGGCCAAACCAGGCTGCTCTGTAAATCAGCAACCGAACCGCCCAACGCCTAAACCCTCAGTCGCCAATCACTAATCCCCGATCCCTAGGTCCGATTGGGAGTTTCCAAAAATGGGGGGGACCCTAATATAGTACCCCAAATAGTAGGATCCTTATTATAAGGATCCCTAAAATACGGTACCCCCAATTTTCGGAAATTCCCAATTAAGCCCTAATCCCAAAGCCCTAAACCCAGATCCAGAAGCCCCGATCCCGGGTCTCCACTCTGAGCTCTCATCTACCCCAAATACCGACTGTTTAGGGCCCCAAGAACTCTATGAATTGGGGGGGGGGGTGCAGGTAACCTAAACCCCAAACAGGAAGCCTTAATCCCGAGGACCTAGAGTAGGCCCTTGTTCCCTTTTTAAGGGTTCAGGTTCCCTTATAAGCCCCTTTGAACCAAAAAGGGCATCCTTTTTTCCTCCTAGGTTACTCTTGGGTCTAGATCCCTAATAACCCACCCTAAACCCTAAACCCTCAACCCTCAACCCTAAGCCCTAAACCCAAACAAAAAGCCTTAATCCCTAAAGCCCTAAGCTCTCCTTCTCTGAACTCCAAAGCAGGACGAGGTTGTCCTTGAAGGCGAAGCTGCACTGCGCCAGGACCCCGGACAGAGCAAGCAAAAGAGGGCCCTAGCATTCCGAAGCCCAAAACAGTCCTTTTAAGGTTTCCTACAAGGATTTCTGTAGAGTCTCTTTAAGGGTTCATATAAGGGTTACTATAGAGTCCTGAAAAGTCCTATACGGGTTACCATACTACGAATTTTAGAGGGGGTTTACAGGTTTGGGGCTTGAGGGTTTGGGGTTTTAGGTGTTCGGGTTCTGGGATTCAAGGTTTTGGGTCTGCGGGTTTTGGGTTCAGGATTCCGGGGTGCCGCGATATGAGAGCAGTTTAACCTTATTGACTACCCTAAACCCTAAACCCTATAGAACCCTTAAAGGAACCCTAAACCCCTTATAAACCTACATATAACTACCCACGAACCTCTAAGTGATCCTCAGGCCCTGAGCGTGGGCTCTAAACCCTGGGGACCCTTCCTCACAGATCTTTCTGCACCAGTCTCATTTTTTCTAGCTTGGCTGTTTCTGTAGGGAGGTATCCGGCATCCAGATACCCGAAAATATACCTTTAAGTATACAGGGCTTCTCATTACGATTCAGGATATTTTCCTGAGCTTTGGGCAAGGCCCCTCTGTTTGGGCGGGCTTCCTTCAGCGGAGGAGAATCTCAGAGCGATTTGGGAGGTTGCTGGTTATTGTTGTTTCTTTGTCTCTCTCTGTGTGACTGTTGGTGTGGTCTGCTTGTTCTTTTCTTGACGTAGGTCTCCGTCTACGTTGAGTCGCCCGCGGCCATAACGACATCCTTGTCTACATAAGTCAAAAGTCAATGCAACTCTTTGTAGAGTGCTTCGAAGTTTATCCGTGGTTCAGGTTGGGCTTCATGCCCTGAACGGTGTAACTACCTTGAAACTACGCTCTGTAAACCCCGAACCCATTAAATTAAAGATTCGCTACAAACTTGGGAACTGGAGCCTCAATGTAAGCTTTACATGACTGTATGTGCCGAATAAACCCTAGGACCTACTCGCTCGAAGTGCCGTGCCTAGATCTTCCTAAATCTTCCCAGACTGGTTTACGGTCTAATGTTTTAGGATTTAGGACTGTGGGTTTTAAGGGCAAGGGCTGTGCGGTGTTTGGGGTTGGGGCCGGTTGGCATTCGGGGTTTAGGACTCCGGATGGAGGACTCTAGTTGAAATACTACTAATGTTATTAGAATAGGGTTCCTTTAAAAGGGATCTATAAAGGCTACTACGAGAGCGATTCTAAAGATTTACTTTTCGGGCCTTTATAATTACCTATACTATGCTGGGGGTTCCTTAGTAAAAGTCTTGCATAATGGGCCCCAAAACCCTATTCTAATTACTAAGGCCCCTATACTAGCAGGTGTGTGGCAAAAGATGGTTGCACGGTTTAAAGACCGCGTCAAGACAGCGTTTGTTGTTGGGCGGCGGAGCCCTAAACCCTAAACTACCAGTACCGGCTCGCATGCTGAAGGGTGTGAAGAGAGAGGGTTTTACTAGTTGAGAGCCGGCGCCGGCGGACAAATGTCAACTCAAATTTAAAACAAGCAAAACCCTACACCCTTAGATAGGCCCTGTGGGACCTCCATACTTTGTGCAGACTCAGGTGCAGAGCTTGCAGCCCTCGAGGCCAAGTAAGGCGGGTGCAGCCAGAGTGGTATGTAGGGCTTGGAGAGTTTGCGGCTCAGAAAGTGTCATAACGTAGTTAAAAGGCAAGTTACATGTAGGGATGTAAGTATCCCGCGACATGGAAGTCTCGCAGTAGCTCCCTGCCCTACGGGTGGCCCTAATCAAGCGCACCCGTGATCCTCCAAGCAGCCCAGTCAGAGCATGGGGCTCCAGTTAAGGTAGCGGTTTCGAAGTGGCATCAAACACGATAGCCAGGACCATGACAAGCACGTGCAGAGGGCTGTAGAAATTTGACTTCCTCCTCCATTGTTCAGGCCGGTGCGGTAGGTTTTAACCCCCAAGATGCCCCCTAAACGCCTCCAGTAGAGTAATGCAGGGAGTCAGGGGCCTTAATAATTACCTCTACTACTTTGGGGGGCTGCTTATTTGGATTATAGTCAAATGGGCCCTAAAGCCCTATTCTACTTATTAAGGCCCCTACATCAGCCGGTTCCGGCCTGGCCTTTGAACGAATACTTGTCATAGTCATAGGGACATAGCCTCGGCACATTTCGGCGCGCAGGCCGCACTATGTGGGTGGTTGTCAGTATGAGAGTCCCTTTTCGGGTCCCTAATACAATACGGCACCCAAGATTTAGGGTACCCAACAAGGCACCCTAATTTTGACAAACACCAATATGGCAAGTACGAAAGCTTCTATTCAGGGACCAGTGCCGCCAGGAATCCGATTGGGTGTGAAGTCTCGCAGATGCCCCGTTACTTGGGGCCCTCGTGTTTTCTAAGACCTCACTGCAAGTCCGACCCCCTGGCAGATTCTCGCGAAGCAGCAGCGTTGGTGATTTTTCCCTCTCCGAACAAGCCCTCATCCAGGCCAGCAGATCACTCCTTATCCTCCCGACGAACGGGGGCAAGGTGTAAGAGTCTCAAACAAACCTACGCTCATAGAACCACTCGGAGGCTTCGTTAGCAGTCTATGTTGAATTATATAATGTTCGCCATATTCGTTCTATCAATCATATTGCCAGCTTCCCTGTTGGCATTGATACTTGTACGTGGTGTAGTCTTAGCGGAGCGAATCGCAGTAAGACGTACATCTGCAAATTGCCGCACAACTTCAACAGTAGCAGCATGAACAAGATCAGACTGCTCGTTTGATGACTAGTAGGTCGTGGGTGGTGGGGGGGGTGTTCGGTAATGGTAGTTGATCGGTAAGGGTAATGGGTAGTGGGCAGTGGGTGGCTGAAATGGTGACGGTGTCGTCGTCGTGGTGCTTGTAGCAGCAGGACAGCAGCAGCTACGAAGACACGAAACAGTAGACAGCTTCAGCACTGTTTAGGGCTAGGCCCCACGTTCCCTTGACGGATGGTTCTCTGGCCTCCTGCAAATGCTTCCCATCGAGCCAATGAGGCTTGAACTGCGACTGGAAGGAAAGTGGTGCCGCTTACTTAGGCTGAGTACTACAGGGGCCTAAATAATTACTAATGCTATTTTGAGGGATTCCTTATCATAGTTATAGTGTACTGGGCCCCCAACCCCATTTTCTAATTAGTAAGGCCCTTACACTAGGCTGAGTGTAAGTCTGTGCGCGAACTTTCTTAACTAGACACTGATGCTGTCCCTACATTCCGACGTGTGCGAGTGTTTTCTCGAAGTGTGGAATGGCTATATAATGCTTGCCAATAAGCCTTCTCGATACGCGAGGATTGCAAATGCTACACTGATTTAAGGACATAGAACCTTATTGTAGCATTGGGCAACCTTGTCTGAGTAAGTTCATGGGACCTGAGACCTAAACTCCAAGACGGTTTAGGGTTTAGGCTTTAGGGTTTAGGGTTTAGGGCTACTTAAGTAGACTCTAAATCCCCAGGCCCTTAACCCTAAACTCCAAGACAGTCGGAGGTCACGGGGTTAGCAGCCTGGTCTCCAGAAGCTGACAAAAAGCAGGGTGTGGGCTAAGGGTTTACGGCTTTAAGGTTTTATAGGGTTTACAATTTTAGGGTTAGGTTTCCGGGAAACTTTTCTGGATTGGTGTCTTCAGATTTCAGTTGACGACGTAGCATAAGAGCCCTTGCGATCTATTCATCAGCAAGGTGAAGCCACGAGTCCACCACGAGGTTACCTTTTCCTTCTGTGCACAGATGCTACATAGCTGCGTGTAAGCGCCGAGCCCGCGATGCGCAACGTGTGCAGGACACTTCAAAGATACAGCCGTAGCCCTGAATGCCAAGCCTGGCCTGATGAATCCTAATCTCCGGTACTTGGAGCTTCAGGGTAGTTATAAGTGGGGTTATCAGTCCCCTAATACGGGTTATAAGTATGGTCACCCTACTCATATCCCCACTGATAACTACCCATGAACCTCCAAGTACATCCTGCAGACGAAAGACACCTAGCTACTAAACCTGGAAACCTAACCCGTAAACCCTCAAACACCCTAGTTCGATGAAGCAGCCCAGCAACGCCCTAAGAAGACACATTGGAAAGCCCTGCCGGCTTTCTCTCGGGGTGCACAAAGACTTCACAAAAAAGAACAGTCAAACCCCACCCAAAAACTCGATAAAGCCAGTATAAGGAAAGTTTTGGGGTAGTGCCTGCTCCACGGGGTGCCCTCGGCCAACGCATTCAACCTGGAGGAAGACAGCCGACAAGGGATTTTGTCACAGAAATTGGATTTTCGGGTCGTCCTAGCCTCGAAAGGTTCAGAGTCCAGGGTCACTAGGGTAAGCCTTGTTCTTACCTTTGGTTAGTAGGGAATGGAAGAATGGTAGTAGTAGTAGTACCTATAATTGTACCCCATTCCTCCATTCCCTACTAACCAAAGGTAAGTTATAGGATTATTAAGGCCCCCATATTATAGCACCCTTAAAGATCCCTTATAGTAACCCTTATAGACCCCTTCATAAGTGTTTAGGACATGTGGGGGTCACCAGTGGCGTTTCGAGGCCTCAGGATCCTCCTTGAACGAAACGTCCCCCCTGAACTTAGGGGTTTGGGGTTTAAAGGGAACTCCAGAAAGTTGGAATATGAATTAATGGTAGGATCCCCTATAAATTTACCTTTAAGGGGTTACTGAACTTACAGGGAACTCCAGAAAGTTTGAATATGGTATCAGGGTACCAGGGTTTAGGGCTTAGGATTTAGGGTTTAGGGTTTAAAGGGAACTCGAGAAAGTTGGAATATGGTTTCAGGGTAGGATACCCTATAGTTTACCATAAAGGGTTTAGGATAATCATATTCCAACTTTCTGGCTTTTACTTTAAAGGGATCCTCTTGGTGACTTTTCTTCGATGTCACTGAAGCCACTTATCTGTCTAAACTCCGAACCCTACACCTGTCTCTTCTTGGGGCTTAAGGTTGGGATTGAGAAACTCCCCTCTCTTCCGATGGACGGCAGGATTAGGGCAACTAGTATGGAGGGCCTAAAGAATTAGAAAACACTATATGGATGCGTTTTTCAGATTTGAGGCTTTGGCGGTTTCAGGTTTAGGCTTACCTTTTTGTTGGTGAACTTCGGGGGTTTCGGGCGTATAATGAGGTTCAGAATCCAGCCTTTTGAGGTTTAGCGCGTTTACTGTACACGTATGCACAGGGGGTTGGTGAGGTTCAGGTGGGTTGAGTCGCCGTCTTTCAGAACGAGTCGACGCCCGAATCTGCTAGCAAACTCGGAAGGGTTTGGGCTTGGGGGTTGGGTTTAGGGGTTGTGTGCTTCACCCCGAAACCCTGAACCCCATAAGACAACATGAATCCAGGCTGGGGCCTTCGGAATGTTGGGGTTGCGGGTTGCGGTTTGGGACCAACCCCAGCCGCAATTTGCTTGAAATACGGTAATGATGTAGGGATCGGGAATGCATTCTCTTTCAATCCCCACATAAACGGCAAAGTTGCTTACATATTGTATCCCGGCGAAAGGACTCCATTCTATCATATTATACTATTCTATCCAGCAACAACAAAACCCACATGCGGAAGGCGATCGTTTCCTAGGTCAGGCTTGCTTTGATCATGTCACCTTTGTTTTCTTGCTTGGGATCTAATGTATCTGGTAGTCCCACTGAAACGTTTCTGTAACCGTGCGCCCTACCTACAGGCCAGCCTACTTTCGTTTCAGGTTCAGGGTAAGGGGTGAACGTATCTCGGCCGTCTTCAGAACCCATCGATGTACGGCCCCGGCCGGACCCAGCTGACTTGCTTCTGTACAGCTGCTCAACGCTCGGGTATCGCTCACTATGGCAGCTTCGCGTCAAAAGCAGCATTAAGGTCTGCAAAGCAGAAGCTTTATGACAGCTGCGTTCCCAAAGTTCCAGTTTCTTCGATTGCCTATGTAATCTGTCATGCACATCTGGGGCAGAACCTAGCTTTACAAGGTAATGCCCCCACCGAACACCAACACCCTGCCTGCAACCCAACTCCATAGTCAGGCAGCATCACCTTTCAGGCTCCTGTGTTTTGCCGGGGTCCTCCTGTCAATGCCTCCAGATAAGCACACGGGAATACTGGCTTTCATCAGCATGTGACAGATTCCGACGTTCCTAGTAGTAGAGTAGGTAACCTTTAACCTTTTGGGAAGTATAGTCCCTATATAATCCGTATATATAACCAAAAAAGTTAACCTTTAGTTCCCCATGATACCCGACAGGTAGGCCTTTCATTGTACTGGTCGCAGGTTTTATGGGCAAAGGGCTTCATCTGCTCGGAGGAGGGACCGGATTTCGACTGAAACATTGCACCGCAAACTGTTAACCCGCATCCCAAAACCCGACGTTAGACCCTGTTGCAAAAGCTCCAACCCCAAGCTTTTGCACCAGGACACTCATGAACTGAACACCCTGAATATGGGTGCAATTTATGAGCTTTACAACCACGAGTCCTTAAGTAAGATTAACGTAGCCCTTGCCTCAGAGTACGAATCCAATGAGGGATGCTTGGCTTAGATCTGTTAGCCGCATCAGGAGAAGGCTGTCCGACATTTCTGGCGGCTTTCCTTTCGATATTGAGTGCTCAAGGTCCAG